TATGCTAGAAAATCTGTAAAACTAAGATTAATAAGTATTTTAAAAATGTAAATATGGTATATACCACAATGCTTCATGCATAAATGATAAAAATAATATTTTTTTAAATGTTGTACAATCCAACAAAAGGTAGGTATTTTTATTAAACAATCAATTATTTTTAAAAATATATATCAAAGGTGTATACTGTATACATACATAATCAAAGTAAATTATACGTAGAACTTGTGTGTAAGACTGTTACTTCTGTTATCATACTATATAAAAAGAAAAAATCATTTTAATATTTCATAGGTAACTAAATAATTATTATCAAAATTAAAACGTAAAAAGTAAAATTGTCAATGACGCCGTAGTGTAGCTTGATTTATTTTTAGACAAAATGTGTTATACATTTATTTTAGTGCAGCATTTTGTTAAACGACGTAATACGATTTTAACATACTCCACTATAATAGTTAAGACATGATGTATGCGTACCTATGAATTTTTTATTTTAACACTTGAATACTTTTTATGATGCGTACATAATTATAAAATAGTGTATACACTTGTTTGTATAATTTATATTTAAAAAAAAATAAAGGTAGACCTTTTTAACCAGGTATTAAAAACGTTACTAAATTTATAATGTATATAGAGAAAGAAATAATTTTTGTTTTGTATCTGTGTAATTTTGGTAATGTATTCAATACCCGATTTTAACAAGCTAACTAGTTATAAAAAAACTAGTTTATATTTCAGAGTAGTAGATATTTTCCCAAATAAAATACCAAACCAAGTTGTAACAATTCTAAAACTCCATCCCTAGGACAGCTTGGCGTACTTTTTAGGTACTATTGATTGACCCGATTAACTTAAAATCTGCATTTTGGAAACAGGCAAACTACAGTAAGTACAACAATTACCAACGTACAGGAAATGTCCAAGTTAAAATTCATTATTACATAAACACATAATATTATAAATTTACCATTTTAAGCGGAGTCGCCTGCCTAAAAGTTAATTATGATCTACTTATAATTGATCATTACATTTCAGAGCAAATAACTCTAGACAAGAATAATTGCTTAACATTTGTAGTAATTATCGCCTAAGGGGCCGTGAACCGGTATCATTTAGGTAACAGATATCGCAACAGTCAATCAAAGAAAATCCTCTTGGGTATCATAGTAAATATACTATAGTAAATTTTTTTTGTCTACATGTTTTATAAGTAAATCAAATATGTGTAAAACAACTTGACAAACATGTTTTAATACGTTATTAAATTACTATGAGTACCTACACTTCATAACTTTATTTTGTATATTTTTATATTTTTTATCTAATTGGAAAAATTAATTTAATTAGAACGATTTAAATTAAATAGATATTACCATTATTATAGATTTATAATTTTAATTTTAAACATTTTCGTAGATGTATTGAGAGAGAAAAATAGAAAAATATAATATTTAAAATTAATTCACGTAGTAGATATTTTTTTCTGGGCAGTACCTATCTCTTGTGAGACATTGTGTATACCATATATCGTAACAGTAAACTTTTTAACAGGGCTTACAACGATAAATAAAATATATATTTTTGAACGACGAACTAAAAAAAACTATGGCAGTGAATGATTAAAATAACTTATTCCGCCATATTAATTGTTGTATGATCAGTATGGATCGTATTTAAACAACAACCCACTTCAAAATAATTCCAATTTTTTTAAATCATAGTTTGTATTGCCAAATTTGGGTTTATTAAACTTGAAGGTCAATGCTGAGCATAATGTGCTTAATTCGTAAGCTGACGATTTACAGTATTAACTATCAAGCTGTCCGAATCAATTGCTATACCGGCATTTTAAGTTATAATAATGTGTGACTTTAGTTTAAGTTAACGGATAGGTGCCGTATTAATAGCCTGTAGGTACCAATTTAATAACGCGTGCATAACTATATTATTCATCAAATGCAAACACACACAAAATTTGATTTGTAACATGTATGATTTATGCAGCTCAATTCGTCGGTAAGTATAAAATACAATCTATCAGACTGATGTAAAAACTGTAACGGCTTTTATATCGTTCGCGTAACAGTGTAAAACGCACGCAAACGCAAAGAGGAGCGATGGTAGAGTGGTAGCATACACGACAGCATTGCATAATCGCGCTGTGAGAACCCACGTGGTTTCAGGTCTCGCGAGGGGAAGTCAGGTGTGGCCCAAGAGCCTGACGGCAGGGGTGAAGAATCGATAGTATAAAATATCCGAGCTGGGCAAAACGGTTTTAACGCCCCGACCGCATGCGCCCAGTACCGATCACACGATTGTCGAGACGGTCATGTATAGGGCTTTGCGCACCAGCTTCTACCCGTCGTCGGCCCCAAAAGCAATACATAATATCCTATATCAAATTACACAAATACAGGGTGATCAACTCAAAAGTGTTCCGCTCGACGTTCGCTTCATCACCAGGTCCTATATTATAACAGTACAAAGAAATGCACCATGTCAAATAGCTGATAACTGCATTCATTGACATGTACACCTGTATATAACACCACAAGCTTAGACGTTAATACGTTATGATTTATATTGCATTTATTATTTATTATATTATCTAAATAAATAATCAAACATATTACTCGAGACTTTCGTGATAATAATGTTCCACGTGTGTGTACAATAAAACGTGCCTAATATATTATAAGTACCAATGTATTTAGGTATATCTGCGCCTAGAGGCCCTGTACAGACGCTAAACAGAGAACGGTGGCCGCAAAGGGGAGGCGGTATCATCGTGAGCTCCCTGAGGTCGTAAAGCGATGCTACCGCAGGGAAAGGTAGCCCAACACTGTTATAGGGGGGTGTGATGTACGCGGAACTGGCTCAGTAGTGACGTATAATGAAGCAAAATGAGAAATAAAGTGGCCACAGGGAAAGTTGAACGCATGTGGTAGTGAACTAAAAAAAATTATAAAATACTAAACCGTACAAAAAAAACAGCCGGTTTGTTTCGCATACATACCTTTTTATTGTCCCAGAAAAACTGTCGAAAACTATGACCTTATTTTTAGCAAGCCACTAGCCAGAAAAATCATATTCGCGTATCGAAACGATGCTTAAAATTTCACAATACAATAATTAATATGACTCTATAGAAGTTACTCTGCTGAAACTAAAAACCCTTCGAAGCTATAATAACAGCTTGCGATCCATTTGACGGTTTTTAAATAAAAATTATAGAGCGCCATAATTTTAAGTTGAAAAATTTGTAGAGTGCTTTTCCGAATTTTGAAGGATAAGAGGTGAACTCTTTAAAGTTTTGGCCCAATAAAGTACCTTTCAGGTACGATTTCAGACTTACATAATTGCTAGGTCCAACCGCTAAAAAAACCACAACATTTTAAAAACAACACCTTCTCAGCTACGCATCGAAGCTAAAATATGAAACAAAGAGATAGTAGATACAAAGTAGATCTACTTTCAACCTGTTGTATTATTATAAATGTGTAGTAATATATAGTGATAATAAAATAATATATTTTAAAACACCCTTAAGCATAAAATAATACACTCTTCGCGTATACGATGTATTTCGGTAACAATATTGTCATCATCAGAGCTAACGACAGACTGAGGCCGATTGCGGGCGAACACCACCATACATATGCATATATATATATATATATATATATATAGTAATAATTTTGTAAAACCAAAAGGAAATCAAAGAAAATGTTCAACCCTACCTGGAAAAAAATGAGGATATTTTTTGAAGTTTTGGCTGTAAATTAATTGTAATACCTATATCTAAAGAATACTACAAATAAATTTAGAACAATTTAGACTGGTTTAAAATAAATTTTAGCATACTATAATTAGATGTTTAAAATTTAACAACTTTTCAGGTTTTAAAGGGTTTATTTTTATTTTATTTTGGCATTTTGACTTTGTTATATTACTATACCAGTTCCAATCGTGAAAAGCGTCTTCAGAATCGTGGTACATAGAATCGGCCTGTTCATTTAATAATCACCTACTATTCGCTTGAGTACCGTGGCTACAAACCAAGTGTTTATTTTTGGTTAGCAACGAAAAATATTTCTTATTTAAAGTATAAAATTCGTATTTGAGGCCATCCTTAGAGATGGAATTTTCGAAACGTATTATGCCAGTTACCTTCGCGGGAGTGTACTCAACAACTTCCCAAAGTTTCATGGAGATCGGATGAATGGTGTACTAATGCATAAAGGACACACAAACAGACATACATTAATAATATGTACACTACTACTATATTAGTCTATACTCTATAGACTATAGTATAAACTATACTATTAAATTTAAACATCTATTAAATATAGAGTCAATGTCTATTATAATATATGAACACTATTCTTCTATCTGTATAATTTATGCATCATATGCATTAATATACAATAAATATACTGATAGTACTAAACTATATTATAATAAACGAATATTTATAGTTTGATACTAGTAATAATTATACTAATTAATTATATTCACAATCTAGATTTTACAATATAATTGAGTTTTGAATAATTAAATAGCAATTACGTCAGTAACAATAATAAACGTTTGGCCAATACAAATAATTTAAACAATTTCTAAATTGTATATTTTCTGTACGAGCTAATTAATTAGTTAATCGAAATTAACAATCTATATAACTACAGCAAAAACCGAAAAATATAATTCACCCATTTGTATTAGTAGCAAAGCCACAGTGTTTTTCAAACCGCAAGTAAAATGTCCGACGATATGATTCGTTCCACTTACGAACATTTATGCAGACCGTTTTTTACGGCTTTTCGTATTTTAGGTTTTTGTCCGTACAGCACTAATCAAAATGGTTTGTAACCGTTAACATATCGCAAGCACTGTGATTTCACATTTTTACACTTGCATGTAAAACTATTTTATACATTTAGTACCTATCTAAAATCTAATAATAAATGAAAATGTCTTCAAGTATTTACATTGCAACGGAGATGGACGCGGTTTCAGAATTTGTTTTTGGAAAGGGCCATCGATTATGACTATCATGATGAATAGACAATTATATTTTTTAGAAACCTTAAGTAAATTCAGAAATGTTAAAATAATATTTAATTATGAAAACTAGATCTAGAATAATCTGTTTTTGATTATAAATTAAAAAATTAATCCATTGACTATTATTCTATTTTAGAAAACTTATTAGGAACAAATTAAAAAAACCAAGCATTTCCTACTTATTAGAAGTTGAAGTCAGGCTGTTACAAAATGACCTATTATATTTACAGCTCTTTTCAAATTCCATTATCATAATCTGTGTTGCACATGTGCACTCTAGTGATGAGAATCCGAAAATCCGTAATTAAAAAAAAAAATGCTATTTAAGGCACTTAAAAATCTTATAAATATTAAATATATTACAATATAATGTGTATATGCTGTGTATCTAAGTAAAATGTTTTGATTAAAAATAAAACGCTTAACTTTGAGAATAAAGTGCCTTTGGATTTCATAAAATCCGAAATCCACAAGCAATTTATCTTTTTGGTGTTGTTTTTTATTTTTAAAATTACATTAAAATATTTTACTTATAGATACTCAGCCTTACATTTAATACTTATTTAAGATTTTTAAGTGGCTTAAATAGGGTTTTTTTTGTGAAAATACGGATTTTCGGATTCCCATCACTAATACACACCAATAAAATAAAAAATTTGAAAAAGCCTTCAATTCTTAATTTTACTAAATAAAAAGTAAGATAGCTTACCAACTTTATTGCAAGACAAAATAACATATAGAAACATTTTTTACAATAAAAAAATGAAGTAAAATTGTATACACATACTTATTCTAATTTAAGTTCCATTTTATCAATATTACTTGTTTACAAAAAATAAAATTAAAAAACTATCAATATTAATCTTTCTTAGTTCAAGTGTTAAATATATTTAACACAATTTTTCTACCACATAAATACGTATATCATATAACTACTTTAATAAAAATACTTAGAATAAGAGAGAAGAGATAGATTCTAAAATCTAAACCATATGTTAAAAGTTCATGATATTCGATAGTCGCCTTTCAAGACATTAATAAAAAACGATGTTCATAGGTGTACTCAACAAAAAATGTCTTTCGTGGTCAACAGTTTATGTGGTTCTTCTGTGGTCGATTGACTTTTACGCGAATTTAACCGTTTTGTCAACAACACTGTTCGAAAAAAAATCTAAAAGTCCGATAAATGCATCCAGATTCAACAAAGCTTTACTAGTTTTCGCCAAATCCACGTTCTTTGCTGCTCCATCACTAATAGTGCCCGTTATCATGTGGTTTGAAACATCTAAACTGGAAATGTATTTACAAGAATGGGCTGATTTCCAGGTAATATTATATTCCAGCACAGACAACAAACATAGAATCATCACGTTTGTATTAAATGTTATGTATGTATTCCTGTTCGATTATACTATATAATCCAAATAATAATAATACATAATATTATTATTTTCTTTCCCGTTTGTACGCAAAACTTCTGATTAACAAAAATAATATAGGTATATAATATATTTAATTATTTTATTGTGGTTTTAGATTAGGTACAGCAATTTGATCGGTAATTCCAGTATTTCAAAGACTATCAGAGTCCAAGTTATACAACTTTTTCGATCTATACTCATAATACTCATCGCATTTGGTACTACATTGATGTTAACAACTACCAAAACGAATTTTCTGCAACTATTTTGTACGATGAAAAGCGTTTCGACAATGGCTTATATCACAACATTTTGGTTTGTTAGTACAAAAATAATTATTGAAACTACTGAAGAGTTTAAAAATAAATTGCAAACGGTATGCGCCTTATATACGTTTTTTAGTTCCTAGTTATTTTAAGGGTTATACATAGTTTATAAGTAAATATACTAAATTTGTCCAATCTAAATACTTGACATTATAACAAATATTAATAACACAATTTAGCACAAAATACAAAATTAAAAGTGTTAAATTAAATGTTAAGGGGCAATAGGAGCAAGCACTTGTGTATTAGTAATACAACAATTGTGAAATACATTTTGAAAGTATTTGTATTTATATTTAAATAGGTACTTTTTAAGAATATTCTCGACAAGAGGGCTTTTTTTGTTATGTATACAGAACTAATGAGGGGGTAACTGTTAGTCACATGACTTTCTCTCATAAACCGTCATTTATTTACAGAAATACAATTATATTTTCTGTAAAATGCCCTTTACTCCTGAGAGTGAGGGGGGGGGGCACATTACCATATCCGGCTCTTATTAAATTAATATGCTGCTTTTCCTTTTATTAGTCGATTTTGTTCTCTTCCATCTTTTGCATTCGCATTCATGATTGTATCTACCAGGTTTACGAAGACTATTTATCAGACGTTCCATTAGGCGACCCCTGTGAATACCCTCTGGGAGTTCTTCCACGTTAGGTCCACATAGCAGGTCATTCATATCTTCTGGATTTGGTGGTCTTCACAACAGCTGGTGTACTTCTGACCTACAATGGGCCCAATACTCGCAATTGAACACTGTATGTTCCACGGTGTTCATCGGGTTATAACAATAAACACATTGTAGACTCCTGGCTATTCTCCTCTCCCACAAGGTCTCCTGGAAGCATCCATGTACTATCAACATTTTGTTAAATGGAACGTAACCACGGGGTTTGGTCTCTCTATCTATCGAACCAACCTTGGCACGATCTATCAAGTCCAGCAACCATTTGATGAAACCCTCCACCTTTCCTGCCACGCTAATTGTTCTATTCCTTTCCTCCGTTTTAATAGAAGAAAGTTGAGTGGTACCTCCTGCCTTTCGAAACTTAACCTCAACAAAAGAGCTAACATTAGACATTTTGGTTGTCTATTATCTGATTTTAAGCAACTTTTCTATTTTGTTTATTGATTAAAGGCTAGAAATCAACAAGTTTTCAATCGCATGAATTTGGCGTTAAGTTAATTTATAATTAATCTGTTGTCTCGATTGTTACTCCAGTTCTGATATTCAACTACTCAAGTTCTACTGTTCTATAAATAATTAATAATCTCTTTATATCAGTCTTATCCTATGTCCGCAACTATAGTAAATAGTTCAGATTGGTAGCTTTTTTATTATATTGTTACGTAAATAAGTTTAAAAAATTAGCTGGGAACAAAAATGGGTCGTCGCCTAACCAGCTTAGATTTGCTAAACATCTAACATACAGTAAAATATATATCTGTTGACGTTATAAATAGATTTTCAACTAAAAAAAAGGAAAAACTGATTTTTGTGGTATAATTAAGTTTAGTTTTTAAATTTTTAAATTGAAGTACTCAGTATATTAAAAGTAATTTGTTAATATTTAGTTTTTATTCGATACAAACTAAATAAAATATCAATTAGTGTATATTTTTAATGTATTTACCTATATATGTATATATACCTCCCCATTCCCCGAGATGAAGCTCAAATACGCCACAGCATTTGTATTCAAATATTTCATTTTGTATATTATAATGTATTTTATTTTACTTTAATATAGTGCTATTTTATAACTGAATATTAAGTATTTATTTAAAAAAAAACTTTCGATTAAAAATAGTTTTTGAATCGCAATTTTGTTTTTGGCTTTAACAAAGTACGAACATTATTACATTTGCATAATTGAGCAAAAATACTTTTTTATTCTTACTAATTTAAGTTACTTATCAAACCTAATCAAGGTTACTAAAAGCACGCCATGTATTTGAAGTCCCACCCCTATTGGTGTCATGAAGGTAAAAGCTTGAACAAACGAATTTATAGATAATTATTGAATGGTAAAACCATGGATTACTATTTAATGTTTAAGAGACTATAAAAATCTAAATATTTAATTTGATTAACTTTTATATACCTGATTTAAAATTAGTAAATAAGTAAAAATACTTATCTTTATTTCTGTATGGTAATACTTTAATGCAGTACAGTGTACTTAAATATTATTATTTATAATATGGTTATTATATGGGTATACTAACCATGTATACAAAATTACATATATTTATATAAATGTATAACTCAAAAAAATTATTATATAAATTTAACAAACGTAATATGTTTACTTTTGTTTCAAGGACATAAAAAATCCCATATACGCTGCTACCATAGAAGAATATCGCTTACTTTGGATACATATGAGCAAGTTGATTCGTGAATCAGGATATGTTATATCGGGTACAATGTCATTTTGTATATTCTACACGACCATATTCGCCATCCTAACAGTGTATGTGTTGACCGTGTGGGGAAGTAAATTGGTAGAACAAAAAGATTATACAACGTTAATATTGGCATTTGCAGCTTGTATTGTTAATACAATGTCACTTTACATCTATTGCAATAGCGGTTACAAACAAACAAAAAAAGTTGGTAATATTGAAATGATTTATTAACCATTATTGACTACCTAGTTCACAAACATCGGTTAACAATCTCTGTAATTCAATACTTCATTCGTTTATAAACAATTCAGTTTACTTTTTTCAGAATGAAAAAATATAAACTTCAAAAGTAGCTTTATTCATTTTAAAATTAAAAAATATTAATTACCTGGTGCAAATAGAGCATGCACAATATGAATTAAACCTTTCAATAAGAAGTCTATCGATTTTTCTTTAGTTCTAACCTAACCTAACCTAACCCTCCCAAATCCACTATTTTATTTCTGTGTTTATTTATTTTCTACTCGAACAAGTCAACTTTTTTTAAATTGTATGCTGCGCATGCACAAAATAAAAATTACTTTAAACACCAAATGTTGTTCTTATGGTCTAGTTTTAAATTATATCGAAAACTGAAATTGATAACTTTTACGAGGTACTGAGTTACATACTATAGCGTTATATAAAAACATATGAATTAGTCGTGCATAGGTATCTCGGGTCTAAAATTATATTGACCTTTCTAAGGACCAAGATATAGCGTCTCGCTATACTTTGACTATTTTACATACAAATTGTAAGTAAATTTGTCAAAACAGTGCGTTCTTAGATACTATTTGGCGGAGATTCTGCCAAATATTAGAGAGGAGAGTTAATAATTAACAAATAAACTGGTGAAGCTTTAGCTTCGAATAACTTATTTTGAAGAGACTAGACTCCCTCCCCCACTCTGCCTATAGAAATTACATTTGTACCATAGCCGTCACGAAAAAATATTACTTTATCTCGTCTACTTAGAATAAGTATAAATCAGATTTTAGATTCGTCCTGCATGGTTAAGTAATTGATTAATTAAAGCTATTGCACTCTAATTTTGAATAAAGTATATTAATAAAATATATTGTCGTTTTTAACTAATTGAATTGTCGTGAAATTTGAATACAGTGCATCGACAGCGTGATCCTGTTAGTTTTAAAAATGAAATCGTTGTTGACTTGGCAATCATCGAATTACATTCAAGTAATAATATATTGATTTATAATAAAACAATTATTATTTTTTCATACATTTATTGAAATATTTATAAGATAATTGTAATACTTAGGTCACTTTATTCTTAAATGCATTAAATCAATATCAACCTATTGTAAATGTCTTGGGATTTTATGAGATAAACCGTGGCTTATTCGGATCGGTAAGACAATGTTACTTAATAGTAATATGTAAATAATAAAATGTTTAACTGTAGTTTATTTTCTTGTTTTAGATTTTATCACTACTTGTGACCTATCTTATTGTTCTTATACAACTGAACTCTTCATTTAGTTCTACTGAGTCAAGTAACATTAATAGGACAATAACTAATAATACACGAAAAACTTAAAAAAATGTCAATGAATTATATTATTTTTATTTTATTTAATTGCAATTTCCAATTATTTTAATTATTTTGCTTATTATAAAATAATCACAAAAAAAAAAAATACATATAGTGAATAAATAAATTTGAATAAGTGTATACTGGGGATATTGGTTTTTGTTAAATGAAAAACGTTTCATTCATAAATGTACGAATTTATTATATTTTTTATGTAGTTTGATGGTGAAGCGATATCAAGACCTGAAAACAAACAAGAATTTATATATATATATATATATAAATATAATATTATTAATGTATGTAACATCTATGATCAATAATTTGATTACACTTTAAACTAGTGATATTTTCAGAGAATTCTTTAAGTTATTATTCTAAACAGTTTCATTTTTTTTTTTAGTTAAAACTTTGAGACTACAGTTTTGAAACAGCAAAATATAAATATACACCTAAGTTTTATTAAATTAAAAAACCCTGTATTTTTAAGTACAACCTATACTGCGTTTAGCGTAACTTTAAATGGTACTTATTGCAGCTATCATTTTAATAATAAATTTATACAAAACTAAAAGCAGCATGAGATTTTTTGTCCCCTGAAATACCTATTGATATGGAACTCGTAACGTCATGCCGGCTTCAAAAAATCCCAAAAATCGTGTGACATATTAAAATAGGTGTTTTGGGAGATGAAAAATTGTATGGTAAAACTTATATTCCATTAAAACCACAGTTTAAGTAATTATCATATTAAATAAATAAAATCCAATTATACGATTTTTCCTTATATTGCTATTTCCATGAGATTTGTAATCTTCCAAAACCTTTATTTTGATATGCACACGATATTTTAGATTTGTCAATGTGGCACTACGAGACGGTGGTGTCAAAAAATCTCAAAACTCAAGAGAAATATCTAAATAGGGGTTTTGGGAGATGAAAAATCTCATATTGCACTTAGTTTTGTATTAAATTTAATATTAAATGAGAAAACTGTCGTAAGTACCCTTTAAAGACCAGCTGTATCACTGTACGGAAAAACCTGGATCACCTTGTACATTTTTTAGATTTCTATAAAGCTTAATATGGTTAGTTATGACAAAGCTATCAGATATTGTTTTCATTTTCTCATGTTATTAATTAGTGAATGTTAACACATATATCAATTTTTACATAAATAAATGTCAAATATTATCTTACGAGCAATATCACAATATTCTTCAAATGTAGTACAAGGTAAGTAGTCTTCACTAAAACTGGTCATCATTTTTTCTGACATTTTGAGCAGATTCTCATCATTATTCCGAATATAGTCAGCTAAACTACTAGACCAATTTTTGTTTTCTGTTATCTCTACGTTCTATAGAAAAGTATACAAACACAATTATTTGTTTTTAACAACTTAAAATATAACCTTGCAGTCTTTATGTAATATTTATTAACGCTACCTTGAAATAGTACTCATACATGGTATTGATAAGTGCAAAAAACATGAGCATTGGTTTATATACAGCATAATCATGAGGAGTAGTTGGTACGGAACGTATATTCGGTGCTATAGATGAGTTTGTGTGATAAACATGAGCCATAAACATCACACGATGCAAATGCAATAAACGAGCATTTGATCTCCAAGTAGAATAAGGTGTTAGCATAATTGCCATTGTTAACCAATACAGTGGTCCTTCGGTATCATAAAAATTATCAATCATTCTATCTCCGGGTCTTGTTTCCAAATAAGTCCTTAAATTTCGTTCTTCTACTACAGATCTTCTTGTTCTAAGAAAAAAAAATTAACTTACTACGTATAGTATATGTACTACTATGTATAATGACATTTAGTAGCAACTAGCAGTAGGGCAAAATATAGCAACCAAATTTTGTTGGTATAATTAAACATTTAAATTATGATTTGTTTCATCAGTATTAGAAGGTTGTATAATATTCATTATTACATTTTCAGACATCTTAACATTTTCACAATACCACTAGAACTAAAAATAAATGGAACTTGAATTTTATTTTAAAATATTATTTCATGATGTAGTTTTATAGTAACATGTTTGTAAAAGAAAAATTAATGAATAAAAAGCTCTACTATTTATTATTGCGTTACCTTGTTCCCAAAAACAAGCAGCAAATACTAATATAGGTAAAACGAAAGCAGACTTTAAAAAGTAAAACTTTTAGAAATAGTACTTATACTTTTTATTCTATTTTATATTTAAATATTGGATACTAGTTTTATTAATACCAAACACTGTCACCCTTTCTCAACCCTAAGCTCTTTCTCCCTGTTATGTACAAAAATAAATACTTACGTATTCATTACGTATAATGACATATGCATGAGGTATGGTACAAGATTCATGTTGGATTGAGGTCCACCACCTCCAGTATCTTCGTGGAAACTTTTTTCTTGTGAAAACCTTAATAATAATAACTTCAGATCGTGTACTGTTTGTGTATAGCTAATATCCCTTTGACCAGTTGCTTCTTGTAAATACGAATTATGTCTAGCTAAGCAGTTTGCATATGCTGCCTCGGCAACTGAAGGACCCCACATGGGTAACAATCCATTACACTTAGTGTTGGCATTCTGTAAAGCTGCAGATTCCCATTCATCACGAACTCTAGCAAGTCTATAATGCAATAATTTTCAATAAAAACATATTAATTTTTTCTCTTAAATATAATTTAAATGACAATAAATATAATTTGGTTTCCCAATCAATTTGAAACTGAATCATACCTAACTGCAGACATATGACAGTCAAAATGAACAACATTAAAATGAGTGACAGTACTATATCCAATGGTTTTACGGGCTTTGACTTCATGTTCTTCAACTACACACCTTTTAGTGAAGGTGTAAATACCAAGTACTTTCGTAGGCTGGAACTTATAACCTTCACGGCAAATTACACACACAAGTCCCGTTTCTTCACCTAAATCTTCTACTTGTTGCAATAATGATGTCTCGGCAGTTACTTGTCCTTTGTCATTAGTACGCATGCCTAATTGGCCAAGTTGTTTTTGTCGCATAGCCATTGCAAGCCGTTTTTTCTCTGCTTTGGTTTGTTCACGTACCCGTTCAATTTTTTCAGCCATTATAGGGTTAGTTTTAAGTGCTTCTAACAAATTTTCAGCAAGTGAACCAACATGTTCATCTGACGATACTTGTTCTAAACAATGAACAGTGTGTATACACTCATCAGAAACAGCAGTCTGAAATAAAAAGAGAAAATTAAAGCATAAAAAACTTATATTTCAAGACTAAGGTACAATTGTATAAATCAACATAACAAAAAATATTTTTTTAAACAAAATAATACAAATAAAATTTACCTGAGTGGGTTCATGGCTATTAGCCAACCCAGTCCAAAATCTTAAAATGTATTTCAGTGAAGGTTTAGATATAAATTCCTTCCATTCGTCTCTATCACTATTTTTGTTTAATGTCGATTTCACAGTAGGTGCATGGCGCTAAAATTATTTTTAATCAATTATTAAAAAAAAAAAAACGTTTAAAAAGTTATGTTGACATACATACCGATATATAAAGAATAACATTATTAATAACTCCAAGGGATAATATATAGTCTTTTAATGTATTACCCAGTGAATTATTTTCAATGCCATAAGTTAAATCACAAAATAAGTTCATCTAAAAACAAAACAAAAACAATAACCAATTTTTTTTTAAATATAAAAATGATAAACATTAAAAATATATAAAATCTCATTAAATAACACTTGTAATTACCATTTGTTCATCTTGAGCTGAATGAACGTCATCAAATTTTTCAAAGTCTGATATAACTGAAGAAAAATGATCCATTAATACTATCATTTTTGCTTTATTATTGTATGTTAAAGCTGCTAAAACCCGAGTTAAGTGTTGAACAATCGTGTAACGTGCATTAGAAGCACAATGTAGCAGATATCGGATATGATCATCCGGACCAAATGTTTCAGAAAGTTTGGCAAACTCTTCTGGATTTTGAGATGTCGCTTTTGAGAGTATTGTTTCTAATATCTAAAAGAACAAAAAAGAGAAAATTATAATTTCATTTTTATTGAAAAATATAATAAAAAACATAGCATGACCTCAAAGAACTTGTTTTAACCATTAATAACTAGTCAAAAAACTTAATTAACAAAAACAAAAATTGACAGTTGAAAACAAATTCTAATATTTAATTTAAGTCTTTAATAAATAGTATAAAATAATAAACATAAATAATATATTATATATTTGGTATCCCCTTTTATCAGATCATCATATAGTTGAGATAAAACCATTTTCAATACATACACTAATCGCTGTGTGATAGGAGTCTTCAACGATACTTTTTATATTAATATTGTATATATAAATATTTGTATTTATATAGAATTTATATCAAGATATCAATAATGTTAAAATTTCTAGAATATTTAATAGTACTAAATATATATATATATATATATATATATATATATATATATAATCAATATCACAATTTATCAGAAAATATTTTAATGTTTTAATTTGATATTAATACTGAAACTAAAAAAGTGGCAATATTCCATACTGTATCATCAAACTATTGGTACTATTGAAGAATCCTTATATATTGTTTACTTAATCTATGCTACAATAATAACATTTTACATACATCAAGCGTTTGCTCTGTAAGTACAGTATTGGATAATCCATCCGCTTCATTATTCAAACAAAGCTCAAGGGTGTTTAGAAGAATTGGTATGGATCCTAATATTGGATCTGTTAATACTTCTTGATTGTGTTTTACTTTAACACAAAGCCCAAGTAATTTAAGTAATACTTGGAGTAGTGGACGTGATCTAGAAAGATCTTCAATAGTAGACAAACGGTTCAAGATAACTTCTAAACCTCGACATTCTGCCATCACATTAGCCATTTTATAGACTTCTTCATTGTCGACTTCTTGATCTGATTTAGCATCTAATGTTTCAATAAATTCTTCAGTAGCATCTCCTAGTAATCCTCTCATACGATAAACTATATGCATAGCAGCTTCATTATCACCTCCTTCAGGTAGCCAAATTTTTTTATAAACCTAATGAAATTTTTTAAAATTTTTACCATAAAATAAACATAAATATTTAATACACTTTTATTTTTTAATTAATTTACCTCTTTTACAGGCAAATCCAAACTTATTATCTTATTATTTACTAGTAATTCCATGCCATTATCATCTTCTAATAGTGCAACCAGTTCACAATCTTGACATATCTTATTTTTGACATCTCTCATTAAAGGTCCCAAGCCTGGTTCATTACTACTATAAGGATTGCCTAACATACGACCCTAAAAAAAAAAAAAATTATTTAAAGAATTATAAATGTAAATCCAATCTTTATAAAATAACAATGCACATTTTTTAATTATTTAATACTTTAATACCTGCAAAAAATCTTCTTGTTGAGGATCCTTGTCTAAATTCATGTAAAATTCCCCAACATCATTTTCTTCAGGATATATGATTGAGCATAATCTTTCAAATACAAATACTGGAGTTCGGACATCTTGAGGGTCACATTTTTCCACTGTCTCTACACAAATTGCCATAAACGCTTTAGACTCTGCTTCAGTTCCACATGTCATTTCTTCGAGAAGGTCCAAGAGTTGTGATTGAGTTTCATCAATAAGACGAGTTCTTTGAACAACCAAACGCCGAAGTGAAAGATAACCATTTAGTATTGCACCAACAAGTCTTCCTTTATACTGTTGTTTTATACTGTCAACTTCCAAAAACGAAGCTAACAATCCAGTTAGACTTTTTAAGACAAATCCCTGAGCTAAATCTGAAGTTAATGTCGTTTCCTCAAGATAATGTAGATGTTTTATTTCTTTAGTTATAATATCAGATATCATTAGAAGTACTCCTTTTAATGCCAAATACTGTTTCCAAGGGGTATGCTGAATGAGATTTTGATATAATGCTAAAAATTCAGCACAGTTTTCTCCTGCACTACCCAATTCTGTCAAGAAATCAGTAAGTAGATCTAAAATCTATACAAAAAATTATACAAATTGAGTATAATTAGAAAATATATTAAAGTAAACTTGATTATTTTAATTAAATTTGTTTACTTCTTTTTTTCTTTCTGGAACTTGTGCAATACTTTCAAATATAGCACATGCAACTTGTCTTAACAATCTCGTACTTGAACAAAATAGGAAATGTTTAAGCCATGAAGACTTTGAAAGATGAAACGGTTTAGCAATATCTCTTAAAGAGTATAAACGCCACTTCTTGAAATACTTGGAAGCCAAATAATATTGTCTCGTTTCATTCTAAAATAAAAATAAGAATACATAAATTATTGAACACCTCATAATAAATAAAAGTACATTAGACTTCCATTACCTTAGTTTTTTGCTTTTTTACCAAAGCATCTGATGTCTTCTTTTGCAATCTTTGGCGCCAAGCACTAAACATGTGTTCAGGACTTTGTACAGCCCATTTTCTGAAATCTACCATGAGGTGATCAGACATTTGAACAGTAGACAAACTCTCAGGTAATTTATCCTGCAAGAATAAACAAAATACATTAGGTATTATATAAAATAAATTGTTTTTAATTTTAATTTTAATTGAAATATATAAAATATGAATAATAATAAATAAAAGAATTAGTAATCAAATTAAATATTATAGCTATATATAAATTGTATTCTTTTTTATTAATTTTATCCACTAATTATCGAATGTTAATGATGAAATACATACAATGCGAACATAATGATGAACTTTATGGACTACTAGAATTTGTAAAACTGAAGATGATAATTATGAGGGGAAATGTAATACCTTTGCAAAGTCATAGCAAACGAACAGATAAATGCAAATTATATGAACATACCTTATTTACTTTAGCTGTGGAAGCTGGTGGTTTTATAATATTACGCATCATTTTCAAACATGGCAATGTTATATACGTAACAATAGCTGAAGACTGAAATTCTTTACATGTCATAAAGAAAAGTTGCATCACACATTTAGCTTTTTGTTCCCAACATGAATCTTCTTTGTACAGCATAGTTGCTAATAGTGATATTTCTGGTCTAACTGCAAATGCAAGATCTGCATTTGCTATTGGTCCTCTAATAGTAAGAGATATTCTTTGACTCAATAGTCCACATAAATCTTCTGTAGCTTTTGGATTGTCTTGTATTAAAATACATAATAAATTACGAACTTCTTCTTGGGTCTATCATAATGATATAATGTATAGTTATAAAAAAATAATAATTATTTTACGTTTAAATCTATATAGTACCTGAACTGAACCTCTCCTGATATTATTTTCAACAAGTTCTTGTATAAGTCCTTGTTGTATTAGTGATTTACGCAAAGTCATATTTGTAGCAAGAGCACGAAGCATAACAAAGCAATGTTCTAATGCAGCTGTTATACATCCATAACAACTTGTACTAACAGAAGGGCTTGAAATTATCTCAGATTGTGACACAGTTAAAGTTGTCAAAGATTCGGATATAGAAAGAGAATGTGCACTACCGCTGAACCGACTTGTTGATTTAGCTTGACCTAATTGTTTTTGATCATATGCTATTAACTCCTTCCGACTTGCTAATACTTTCTAAAAATTAAACAAATAATTTTAATATTAATACATACACGGCCCTTTATTAATATATAAGCAGGGGCTAATAGGAAGTCTAGTAGTGCAAATTCTATAATGGAATGTGAAAATGAATACATATTTACAATAGAATAATGGCTTTTATTATAAAAGTTTTAAAATAATTTAAAAATATTAATATTTTTTTCACCCTAAAGGCACTTTGTTATTTGATTTACTTATCAAATTTGATATTAACAATTGACAAGAGGTATGATATTAAGCTTCTGAGAGCTTCTTGCGCTGTTGTACACTGCAACGCAGAGTATCTGCACAGTGTCTTATGATGGTTATTATTAGTTTTTTTTTTTTTCGAGATTTCAATGAAGAACAAAGACTATATAAAAATATAGCTTTATGCAATAGTTTATAGATTTTGTACTATTTAATTATTTGTATAAGCGGAACGGAAAGTGCTATTTCTTAAGGGACAAAGTATAAGCAGCATATTTTGACCAAAAATGATCTAGTAGTAGCCATTTTAAAAATACCAATTAATTTTAAGATGAAAAATTATTCAGTTTTTCTCTTGATAAAACTTTTAGTTATTTTTCTCCAAGTTATGGCAAAAGATTGAAAAAAAAAATTACCTTTGTAGAAGTCATTTTCTGGCGTATCTACTGGAAGGATTTCAATTTTTTTTTTAAGTTAAGCTTACTATTTTTTTAATGATGGCTAAAAGGTCTATTTTTTATTTAGCTATTAGAAAAAATTAAAATATGACGCTTATAAGAAAATTTTTATAATAAAAATAAGACTCGTAGCTCCCATAGAAAAAATATTAAACCTTGAAACAAAAAAAACAAAATTTGAAATCGGCTAGGTGGACACTTTAAAAAGAGACTACGTTTTGATTTTTTATACCTAAAAGCCTGACAAAATTTCGACTACATAGGATGGGAGAACAATAATAATTTGTAAAGAGATACTGAGTTCTTTGGCTCCTTTATTAAGTTATATCTGAAACTGAGTTTTGCTATTATATGTAAAAAAATAGTTTTAAATATTGAAAAATGTTCAACATTTTTTTAATGAAAATCTGTTTCCTACATAATCTAGTAAAATAGTTAAAGAAATCGAATCTCTTTACAAAATTCATTCTAAGTAAGCGTAACTTTGTCTGGCTTTTAGGATTAAAATAAACCAAAATGACTTTTACTCATAGAAAAAATTATATAAATTAAAAATACCTTAAAGCTTACACAAATTAACCAGAAAATTAATTGACACGGTCAAAAGATATGAAAACCATTTTTTTTTTTTAAATATTGCCTATGAAACTCCTTAAAACCAGTCTGCTTCCAATCCCCTCAAGCCATCTTTCTTAAATTTAAAATATATTTATTAACATTGATTTATAATTTATTGAATGTTATACCTATAGCTAGAAAAAATATTTATTTTAGCTTTGATATGGAGTTGAAGAGGTATTTATTTTTATTTTTATTATATCTGAACCACAATATCTTCTAAACCACTGAACCTAGTTTTCATACAGCAACTTTATAAATTAGACATTTTACAGGGTTATTTTAAAAGGCTGAAAAATTAAAAAGTTTACCCTTCTTGTTCAAAATCGATAAATAAATATCCAACAAATATACATAATATTTTTTAACTTAAAATTATGCTAATTTTTTTTTTTTTAAAATAGGAAAATTTGCATGGAGTATTCTTTAGGCATGGTACTATAGATAAATGTTGACAAACCCAAAAAAATATCAAAAACCCTTTCGCCTAAAATAGGTAGAATTTTTTCTTTATTTAAATTATTTGTGTAGTTTTAGGACTTGGAGTCTAAAAATTAGACTGAAGGTAGATCTAGAGTGGGACAATTAATCATTATCATATCCACTATCCCCCTTAATACAAAATATACATTTTTAAGTACATTAGATTGTCACTAAAATACTTTTATCAAAATTTGTAACTTTATCATCAACATATTCGTTTCAAAATGTTAGTAATACGATAGGTTATGCAATATAATATCCTCCAAACAAAGAAGTCAAACTTGGAAATTTAAAAAGAAAATTGATTTATTTATCAGCATACAGCATTAGCTGAAGTTTTAAATTATAAAACAATGCATACAATTTAATTAACATAATAACACAAATACTACTATTTACTTGTACAATTCGGCTAAGATCTTCAAAAGTATTTCGACATTCAGAACCATATTTTTGAGCAAGAAGTTGAATTGATCTATTGACTTGATGCACTGGACCAGACGATATGTTGTTATTCATCGCTCCATTAACAACGGCAGCGAAACCAGAAACTGGCACAACATTAGGACTTGGATTTTCCTCTGAATTTGTATTACTTGACTTTTCTAACCTATTTTCCATTACTTTTACCAACATATTCTAAATAAAAATTAAAAACATAAATTAAATTTTACATTAAACAAATACAATATTCATAACACAAATAATCATACATTTTTTGCATTTGTGAACATTATTATAAGTAACTCTATAGATATTAGATAATCTGTTTAAATGTCAAGAAATTTAAAATAGATGCAGTTTAACCCTTAAGCGGGTGCATGACTTTTTTTCACACTTAAATCAAGTGTGATGGGTACATTCATACCCCACGCATCTGCCTAAGGGTTAAGTATATCAACTTCCAAGAAATCTGATTTCGAAAATATTTGTTTAACTAGAAGATATTTCAATTGTTATATCATTGAGAACAGAGGAATACTCTGTACTTACATTAAACATCATACTTATATAACTTTACCTCTAATACAGGTTTTGACGACACCAACTGTTTGTAAAGTCTATCAGCTTTTTCCAAGTTAGAATTAATAGAGCTCACAGTTTTGTTTCTGTCATCATCATTTTCAATAGGATCAACAGCACAACATGGTTTTGCAGTTAATACATAATCAAATTTAGCATATTTACAAAACCCACAAGAATGGCATAGGAATGGGTCTTTTTCGTCATAGTTTATGGCTCTAAAATAAATTCCATAAATATTAAAAATTATGTGAATTCAAGTAATTGTTATATTATTCAGATTTAGTGTACCGGCATTTGTGACACTGGAAAACATTTTCACCACAATTTGAACAAACACCGGGATTGGCAGGAACTGTTGCACTACATCTTGGACACTGTAATGTCTCTGAAGAAGCATGCAAGTTTTCATAAAAACTAGCATACTCTATCAATAAATTACAAGCAATTATTGGAACAGCAAATTCGACTTTCACTTCAGTTTGTCCAGATGTTAATGTAATTTCCTTCGCCTTATGCCACATGGCTGGTTTATTTTTTAACTCTACTACAGCTTGAACATATCGATTGTTATAAAATATATTCATTGTTCGAACCATTTTGGTACGTTTCAAGTCAGTTATGCGTAAAACAATTTTATTGATTATATGACTTCCCATTAATTTGACAATTTGAGTGGTAGTAGTAAATTTTGAATCTACTTTTATTGATGTGAGTTTTATGTTACTGAATGGTATTTCAGGATTGTTGCATACCATACATGGTTCACTCTCTAAATAAAAACCTTCCAAATCAACATACTGAGAAATTTGTGTATATAAATTGGCGTTAGGATGACAAGCCAATTTATGATTTTGGGTTCTTAATAATTCTATTGCTTGCTCCACATATTTAGTAGATGTACCAGCTTTTTGATTGTACTTGAAACTAAAATACCCTAGCAAATCTACAAATTGTAATGCTTTTCTTCCATATGTTGGTAGTTGTGGCCATAATGACCATAGTAACTCTAAAAGTTTTTCTTGGTCGTCTTGCTCTGAATTTCTATAGATAGATAATACTAATGCATGAGCTTGCCAACGAATATGTGTAGAATTTGTTTCAAGCAAGAATGTTTTGACAAAACGACTTAAAATATCTCTATTTAAACGCTTGTTCAATTCTTTAACTAGTATCATACATTGCGCTTCCTCAAGCATAGTATTTTCTACATCTTCGGCAACTTTAGATACTTTTGATTTTGATTCTTTAGCTGAAGGAGTTCCAGACTGATTTTTTGCTCCACAAATAGCATACTGCAATAAATGAAGAATAGTTGATGATACGCCTTCATCTAAGAGACAAGCTGCACGCATTAAGTATAGCAGAACAGAATTTTCTTTGCGACAATAAAGTTGCCAGTTTAACATCCGACTTGATGCAATATCGACACATATTTTTACATCTTCCACTAGTTCGACAAGTTTGTCATAGGTTAAATTTAAAGTTTGAGGTGTTGTTCGTTCTCCAATATCACAAGTATTTTGAAAGTTCTGTTAAAAATGTATAAAAAACATGTAAAATAGTTATTGAAATCTAATTAAATAAACAAAATATTTGTATCAGATAAAACAACACTGGTATAAAATAATATTACCAACAAATTGTCATTTTAGTACAATTTTAAACCCATTTTAAAATTATAAATTAAGTGTAATATTCTACCTTCATACTAGTTGATAAGGCATGCATATCTCTGATCTGACGATATTTATCTTTATTACCACAAACAAATAACAATAATTTACGGACTTGTCGTTTAATGAATGGACTGATTGTTTTCAGGCTCATAAATTCACATAATACAGTGAGCCAATCCTGAAAAAAATTGAATGAATTTTATTTTTTTAGTAAATAACAATAATCTACAACAATTAATTCTTACTGGCTCAAAAGATAGCTGAGACCAACTCTTCTGTATTTGATATGGTAAACGTAATAACATTTCAGTTAATATTATTGGATAATTATGGAAAATATCTTTTGTCTGACTAACAGAATAAGGCTTCAAAAAGAATGGACTCATATCTGGAACTTGGGGTGGACCACTTGGTTCTAATAAGACACTTACAACTGATGCACCATTATCTTCATTATCAATAGTACTATAACAATTTGGATAAAGATTAGTTAATTATTGTAAGTGATGTGACAAAACTGTAAAGGGTTAGATTTACAAACACTACAAAATAAGCTAAAATTATCAAATACTAACAACATTGAAAGTGAATTGAGAGTCATTGATTACATGATGTTTAGGCAGATATCTAAATCGAGGAAATAACCAAAAACATATCCATGATGCAATGTTTTTTTGAGTAGCGGAGAAAATAAGCAATTTTTTTTTTTTTACTTTTCAATTTAAATGCAGTTTAAAAATTAAATATGGAATAATATCACGATCTTAAGTTTTAATTTGCTTTACAATTTTATCATTTTGTTTAATGCTCATAAACCTTATTCAACAATTTACCACCAACCAACTTTTATATCACAAGCTAGTGTAGAAAAAATAACTTGTTTAACCCAGGTTCATTTTTTTTAAGTTCGGTTTAAATAACAAAAATAATTTATTGTCACATCACTAATTATTATTTTGTATAATCTATATTAAACTACCAAATACTAATAAAATAATTTTTACTTGGCCCAATACTGTTGTAATGACTTCAAGGCTTTTAAACAACATGATATAAATTGAGCATGCTTAAGCATTGATGCTGCTGTTTGAGAAATGTAAGTTGTATAATCTGGTACAGACTTTGAACTAGATTTTGGCCTTGCCAATAAAACACCTAAAATAAAATTTATAAAGCTTAACTAACACTGTTAAATATAATTATAAAAGTTTTTATTTAATTTACCAATAAACCGCATTATAATAATAACAATTTCACGCTGAGAACTTCTAATATGCAAATTTGCATCATCTAATATTTCCTTACAAATGTATGTTATAAACATTTGCATCAACTCAGAAAAGTATTCTTTATCTCTTTCGTTATTTAAGTCCATATCTGCTACAATTGATGAAACCACCTAAGCAAATACATGCAAGTTAAAATTTAAACATATAAAAGTTCAAGATAATTAATTTGAAGCTGTGCTATTTATGGCAGAAAACCTAATTAAATATACAATCTCAAGTTTATAACTACAAATACACAAATTAAATTATAAAACCTCATGTTTTTATCTTAAATAAAACTAAAAAAATATTTGTTTTAGTATTATGGCAGATGCCGTCACATGATGTGTACTTTTTATTTTTAAGTTAAGTATCATATTCGTTGATTGTAGACTATATACTGAAAAAGTGGCAAAGTTTGCTAAAATATAATAAATAAATAACATATAATTCTACCATAGTGCCTCTAATTTATAAATTACTTGGAAAAATGGTATAGCTCTCGTTCCCCCAATATTATGAAGATTTGGTATATGGTTTATGAATTTCTCTAACAAGGACAATCTTAGAGTGTGCAAGTGATTATTGATTTCCATGTCTTGGTCGTACACAATTTCCTCATCAATTTCCCTTTCAACTTCAGTCTAGACAAAATAAATCAAATCAAAAACAGCATTAACCTGTCATTAGTGATGCAGGGTAAGAATGTACCTCAATCACACTTGATAACACTGTGACTTAGAAAAGAAATGTATGCTAGTCACACTATATTCAAGTGTCAATAAATTAATCTTAAATACTTACAGCTTCTACTGGAGACGTTCTTAATGTACTTCCATCGGGTACAGCACTAGTATCTTCATCATCTGACCCTGCTGCAGATGCTGTAGTATCACTCAAATGACCTTGTTGAGCAGATTGTGTTTCGGAATTCTGACCATTGTCATTGTTTTGGGATGATAAATCTTGCAAATTCTAAACAAACGTTGTTTTATTCATTTTTTTTTTTTTTTTTGTAGTGTAATTTGCATATGAAGGGCACTGGGGAAAAACGGTAGTTGTCACATTATGAAATTTTTTTTTCAATTTATGCCATTATTTTTTTTTATTTATGTCAATAGATTGCTTAAATAAATACATTTTTTTTTCGAATAGCATTTAATGTGATTTCTTTTGTTCTTAAGCAAGAGGGAGAGGAATTCATGAACTTTGTTTTTGCTATACTCTAAAAAATTTCATAATGTGACTACTACCGTTTTTCCCCTGTGTCCTTCATATTGTATTTACTTAAAATCATTAATAGTAGACAAATTTACAATCCTTGGTAATTAATATTACCTGTAAAGCGGCAGGAGCATTTAAACCTTGTAATTCGACTAAACCCTGTTGCAATCCTTGATGAATATTTTGCAAATCTCCATTATTCCCCATATTTGCATTATCCTGTTAGTATAAAAATTCACAATACATTAAAGAACCTAGATAAAAAATGAGTTATTATGGGTCTTCAATGATATAGTTTTAGCTTCAATGTGAAGCTGAGAAAGTAATTTTTTTCAATAATGTGTTTTCATTTTTATATTTTCTACTATTGTGATCTGGACCAACAATATCTCCTAAACCCCTGAACCACTTTCTAAATGTAACAAGTCTATAGTTAAATAATCATACATAGAAGGTAATTTATTGGGCCAAAAATGTGAAAAGTTAATCCCTTCCTTTTAAAAATTGAGAAACTACCCAATAAATTTACATATTTTTCAACTTGACGTAATACAATTATGATGCGATATTACTTTTTTTTTAAATAGTTAAAATAGTTCTAAACTTTATGAAATATTCTTTAGAAACGGTACTATATGTTGACAAACCAAAAAATATCAAAAACCCCTTCTTTTAGATAGAGCAGGAACTTTATCTTTATAGTTAAGTTAAGTATTATTTTCTAACTTAGGCCAGCCAAGCCCGAGCCATACTTACGTTATTAAAACCTGAACCAGCCCCCCAGCCCTGATTAAAAATTGTTTTAAGTTACCCGGACCAACCCGACCTGAATAAAAAATGTTTTAAGAAACCCGGGCCAGAACAAACCAAACTGGACTGGGGGATAAGATGAGAAATATTTTTTTTTAACCTTGAGAATTTTTTTTTATAAAATATTGATAAGTTATTAAATTATTTGTCAAAATAAATATCAATACCCATAATAAAAATAGAAACACCAAATTTATTTTACTAAAAAAATTGTGAAACCGGGATCGGATCATTGCATTTTTTTACTGAACAAGACCAGACCGTCCTATCAAAAAATTTTTTTAATTTTTTTTAACTTAACCAGACCAAATAATTATAAAATATAACCTAGACCTAACCAGATCAATTATTAAAACTATAGCTAGTGACCAGACCAAACCAACCCATTTAACGGTCCGGCTGGGTAAGCCCAGGACCGGACTGATCTCAACTAATCATATTCACCCTAATACTAAAACATACAATTTGAAGCATATTATTTCCCTAAAAATTATTTTATTATTTAATATTTCTAACATCTACAGATTCGCATCAGAGCATTCATTTGAATGTGATTTTTAATTATAAGCTAAAGAGCTGACCTACTCTGCCCCAAAATGCTTTACTCTACTGTACTGGCTTTTATTTTTAATAACAATAGTTTTTTTTTTGTTATTTTCATTATCATTTAAGACCCACACAATTTTATTTTATTTATTTTTAATAAATATTACTTGAAGACTCAAAGCAATAGCTAATTCTACCATTGCTTCATCATCAGCATCTGGCGGAATTATAAGACCAGGAAACTGAACATTTCCAATAAGTACTTCCATGTTTTGTCGATCTTGTTCTTGTGGCTCAACTATACATACATTTATTTTTGAGATCACAGTAATTACAAAATGAGCAATTATACTAAATATTACTTCTCGGATCGAGTAGAATGATTGGTTCATCAACTTCATACTGAATATTTTCTTCTAAAGGTTCTTGAGGTACTTGTTCTTCAATTTCTGGTTCTTTATTGGGTTCAGTAACTAAATATAAAACAGGAATATTAATAAATATTTAATTATGAAAAGTTTATTGATGATTTAAATTATAAAGCTTTAATAATTATTACCTTCAATAGATTCTTTGTGAGAATTTTCTCCACGAATAAACTCCATGTTTTTTTTACTTGAGACGTGAGGCTTTAAAGCTCTTGCCAGTGCTAATTTTGCCGTGTAACTAACTGCTATATCTTCACATAGTAAGAAGTCTAGATAGTACTTAGAAATTGTATTGATTTGAGAATGTTGAAAATCAGAAAATTCATAAAATAATAATGAATGTAATATGTCAATAAGAGCATAAACGACAGCTTCAGTGTGTTTAAGACCTATTTAAATAGAAATACACCATCAAGTCATTAATTCAAGCGTCTAATTAGCGTAATGAGAATCAAAAGAGCACAAGAGTAAATTTTTTTCAAAAATATCCATTTTTAATCAAATAGCAATTTATTAATGAGATTTTTTCTATTTGCATATGTTGAATAACTTGTCATACATTTTTTAAAAATATATTGAAGAAAATTAATGATTATTTTACCTATAAGATTTAAAAACACGTTAAACAAATTATTTTTATTTAGCTCCTGTAAAATTTTATAAAATTCTCATAATCTTTTGATTCTCATTGATTTGAAATGGCTACAATAAACTTTTGATAATTACCAGGCACATAAATTGTACAATAAGAAGGATTTTTTGGCCTATTGTAGTATAGAATCCAAAATACAGATATTAATTTTTGAATAAGTGGCTGGCACCAATGTGATGTTTGTTCAACATTGCTATTAACCTCTAAATCAAACAAAATGATAAAAATAAAATAATTTTTATATAAATTATTACAATTTAATGAAACTGAATTAAAATCAATATGTAATAAATGTATTATAGAAAAATGTCCTAATGTAAAAAACGTCCCTGATCAATAATTACTAATAAATAGTATAAAAGGAATTTATTATGGTAAAAGTAGCAAAGTTGATAAGCCAGATATCTCAAAGATAACTCTAATGAAAATGTATACTTTTATCAAATTTTGGTAGAAAAATGACCTATGTAAAACATTTTTGATTTAAATCATTTTTTTCTAATGATTTAAATTTTTTTTTTTTTTACAGAAACCAGAATTAGGGAGAATAATTTTTGAAACTTAAACGGCAACCGTCTAGAGAAAAATGGCCACCAGTCTGGTGCACCATACCCACTTTCCCAGGATGGCAACCCTTGTCTCTTGTAGGACAAGAGTTTTTTAAACTGACTTAGACAGGTCGTAAGCTAAAAATATATATATTATAAATATTAAGAATATATATAGTTTGTAAAATATTAGAGTTTGACGACTATAATTTATTCATTCTAGAATTATTTCTGTATGTCCTTGATAAATCCTATACCTAAATATGCAGTTTTAGGTCTGACCCAATATTTTTATTTCTACATTTAAATAACTTTCAATATATTGAAATTCCTACAATATATAAAAAAAATATAAATAGTTTATTAATAAAACATTAATATTCATATGGTTAGAGTAATGTCAAAATTAAAAAGAAAAAATAATATTAAATTTACCTTCATGTTGAGTGTAATCGAAGTTTGATAAATTTTGTGGTCTACAAACAGCAATCCCCCGAGTTATTAACACAAGTCTATAATATGCTTCTGCGTCCATATTTTTAGGATCTTCTCTCTCAAAATTGATCAACTCTTGAAGTATATGTGTCAACATAGACTGGTCCTACAGAATTTTTTTAGTTAAGAAAACTACTTACATATTAAATTACATATAACATGAAACAAAAGCAATGATGAACAAACGCCCTTGGCGAGTCAACAAATGCATATGACTTTTTAACAGAACAGGCCTATCAACTCAAATTCTTGGGAAGTAAAACGTTGTGAATGTTACATTGAATCAAGTGAAAATGAAATAAAACTTTATAAACACAATATTGTCCTCTCTCTTCATATGTAATTAATACAAACGTGTTAAAACTTTCATGGATTGAAATATTAATTTAATAGTTTGTATGTATCTTTAATTTAGTTTATGCTGATGTTTCGGACCTATTGCAAAGTCCATATTATTATAGTTGCGTCAGTGTTTTAGTGACTATCGATCTGAAGATTGAATCTGCAATGAGTTAGAAATGTCAGTCCATAAACAAAGACATAGGTATAGATACATCCGAAAATTATCAAATCAATGTAATTAATATTCTCTATAGATTTAAATATTAGCGGTTTTTTTAGAGTGATTATATCATTTATAGTCATCAATCATACAGACCTGGGACCATCCAAATGTATCAAAGAATATACTATAGCTCTAAATTAAAATTTTGGGAAAATGCTTTTATTTTAGTTCTAAATAAATTGGTTGTCATGTGAAGCTTTCCACTAATAAACAGAAGTTTTATGTAATCTAAACAATCTCGGTTTTATAAGTGAATAGTATCAAACCTAAGTTTTAAAAATTTAGGTTGAAAATCAAATTATCATACAAACATATTCTATTACAACTCGTTATTACTTTACATACCTTAAACGTATGAAAATCTGGATGTATAACTGCAATTAAAGATTTTGCATGAAGTTGAATACAAGCTTGAGTACTCTTGTTAAGTAACTGAAGTGCTATTTTCAATGATTTAGACTTGTTTGCAGAATAATTTTCAGACTGTTCATTTGAGGTATTGTTAGATATTACACTGAAGCAATTTTCTAGAATTGTTAATAACCCAACTACAAATCTAAAATTTAAATAAATTAAATTAAATTAACTATAATTTAAAAAAAATTATGGTGGGTGTTAAACAGGGTTTGGAAAATTTCAATTCCCTGAATTGATAAAAACACGGATTAAAACACATGTCCTTAAAATTCAACTCTTAATATAATGTTAACAACATTATAGTACAGTAGACAGTAGTACTATAAAAATTTGGTTTTATAAAATACATTTGTTTACAAAACACAAAATATTCCACTTTATTCCAGTAAAATTCCGTTACATATTAATATGTCAAATTCAAAACTATTTTAAAAAAAAATCCCCTATTTTAAGACTTAAATTTGTAAGAGAATTTTGGAAAAAGTATCATTTATTAGTTTATTACTCAACAATAGTTGAGTAAAATTAAGTGGTCTACACTCTATTTTGATAATCATCATAATAAACATACATTCATTTTTATTTATAAATGTTATTGCATATATAAGGGTTGCCGACAACGAAGAAACTGCAGGTCGAGGGTGAAACTTTTGTTGTGATTTAATGGTTTAACAGAAATAATAACTTACTTGTCTAAATAGTTTATTGTGAAACCAGTTAATGGTAGTTCTTTTTCTGGAGAATTGTACTGGTTAGTAACCACAGTACTAGTAGAGGTTGATCCATAAATTGTAGCACTGCTAATTTCATCAACTTCATCAGGCCACCCGAATGACTCTTTAGTTTTGCCATATCTTATAAAATAATAAATAAATTGTTATTACAGCACTATAAAAGATTAATATTACAGATGTTTATTACTGACATTTTTATAGAATCAACCATAGTAACACCTTCTGGGTCTCTTGATGGACCAAATACTATTGTTAGTTTTTTGTCAGTCTGAAGACTTTCTTCTCTAGTCAAAGGGAAATCAAACCAACGACTACGATTTATTGGTACTGTTTGTTGAGTACGGCCAAGTACTTCAATATAACTAGGAGCACGACCTAAATCTTGATTTCCTACATTAACTCTAATTCCAGCCATTACCATAGTAGCATCATTGTTTGTTACCTCAATGGTAAAACGTGGTTTTGTTGACACTACATACATGCCTAATAAAATAATTTGTACAAAATCAGTACATAAATCAAATATTATTAGTACATACTAAAAAATATATGATAACAAAATTGAATAAAGTATTTATTAAATATATTTTGATATTACTATTAAGTATTAACTAACCATTGCTATTCAATCTATGTTTAATTTGTTGAGGATTATAAATTTGCAATAAATCATTGCCTCCAAATTCAACTTCATTCATTGCAACACAGTATTCAAAGAAATCAACTGGAAAAGTTGAATTACTTCCTAAAAACAAATAATTAGAATGTTTTATTATAAATATAAATTTTAATAAAATGATTAAGTATTTAAATACCTGTTGATCTACCAGATTTATCCGTTTTCCTTTTTTTAAGTTTACTGAATGATGTTATATGACATGAAGGTTGAATAGATGGCGATAACCAAAAATCTATAACAATTTTTATTTAATAAGTAACTAAGCTAATTTTTGACAAATTTTTAAACTCCTGGTTTTTAGGAACTAAAACTAGGATTTTATTAACAAATATTACAATAGGAAGTCAATTATTTTCTTATAATTTGTATAAACAATTCAGATAACATTTGTCTTATTTTTTCAACCAGGAATTAGTTCAAGTACAATTGATTAGCAGACTTGTTTCATAAAACTATTTGAGTTAATTTTACTAAGTTTTATTGTATCAACATAAAACTTAAAAAATATTTTATAGTGTGTTATTCAATTGTTGTCTACAGCAATATTCAATCTGTTAATAATATTAAGACATTCAAGGTCGATCATTAACAGGTTTAAAGTTAAAATTTGATTTTTATGATAACTTTTGACTAGTTAACTAATGTTTTTCCTCATTAACCATTAACCATATTTATTGTTGGACATTTATTTAAGACAAAAATAACAAATATAATTAAGTAATTAACTATATAACAAAGAATATGCCCGCATAAATTAAATAACATACAAAAACAAATGAAGAGTGAATTTGTGAAACGTTCCTTTGAACCAAAGTATAAAAATTTAACTTTATAATTTTATTATTTTGTTCATTACCAGAAACACTTTAACATACTTAAAGTGTTCAATATGATTGTTTTTTTTTTTTTTAAATATCTATTCTTTACTTGAAAAATGTACCAAATTGTTTCCGGTAATGAATAAAATACAAATCAAATTATTAAGTTCAATTTTTAAACTTTGACAATTAGACACATTTGACAAATTCACTCTTCAAATAATTTTATCATTATTAAGAGTAACTTAAACAAGATCAATTATACATTTTTAACATTTAATTATCAAATAAAAATAATAGTTTTTTTTTATGATTTATCAGTATATTTAATTTAAATAAAGTTATAAATTTATATTTTTGAGCTTGACAATTCTTTATAAGAGAATATTTTGAGCAACTTTGCATAATTTTAATTAATTGTATTACCTGTTTGTTCTTTAGCTGCTAAAAACATACGAAGGCTACCATCTTCACACAATATTATTAAAGTTGTTCTAAAGTCTCCATTAGACAATGGGTGGCGTACAGCAACCATATCTGTTATCTTAGTTTTTGTTTGAGCTAATTTTATTTCTTGAAGTGTGATCGATTTTGGTGTTATCATGAATACTACAGGAGTGTTACCTGGTTATAACAAAATAAAATAATAATACATATTTGTAATGAGCAAATATAGTTTTACAATATCACATAAAAATAGGATCATATAAATTATAAATGATTAAAAAAATAACTATAACTTTTTAAACAATTGTATCCTGGATTTATTAAAAAAATAAAAAAATAATAATGTTAGGTAATTAAAACTAGTTTAGAACTAGAACTAGTTTACAGGTGTAAATAAATAATTAACTCATTCACTAAAGGCAGAAGAAGAAGATATATTATTTGTTAAATACAATACAACACAGAAAAATGCTGAACATTGTATTAATTTATAAATATGTTAAAGCTTTCATGGATTGAAATAGTATGAGTATAATTTTAGATTTTCAGATAGGGATACATCTGAGAGAAGAGAATTTTATTTTACAATATCATGCCTCTAATATATTACCTTTCTAGGTTAAACAAGTATTAAACACAAGTAGAAACTTACTTGATTGAAGAATTGCACACACTAATCCTGGATGTCCAGGAATTTCAGACCATTGCCACAAAGGTTGTGTAGGAGGAACAGAACTATTTAACTGACAGGCATTGTTTTTATTTTTAGTGCCAAGGCATGATGACTGTGAATTAATAGCAAAAACTGGATGTAGTGTAATGACACCACCTTGGTATCTTTCTTCATCTAATGGAGCAATAAAAGTACGTCCTGGAGTCACATAGCTAAACATCAAGAGCGACAAAGTATGGGAATAATAAACTGATACTCCTCCTCCACAAACTTGACCATTAACATCCTAAAAATAGAAAAGTAATTATCACTAATTTGCTACACAAAATAAATACTAGGAAAGGTTAAAGAGTTATAATACACTCACATTAATATCAGGGTGAACAATATCAATAGTATTAGTTACATAAAAAGGACCATGGATAGCTGAACTGCTGGCATCCATATCTTGAGTATATATATAACCTCCAGAAGATATTAATATCATAGTAGATCTTTCCTATATATAGTATAAAAAATTATGATTCATATATATTTTATTTACAACACATAAAAAAACTAATAAATATTCAAATTATAAACACATATTGTAAAAATTTAAGTTTACATTTTTTTACTTCAAAATTAATATAGGTACTTGATGATTTAAATATGTTAAAATAATTTTACCAATATGTGACAAATTTATAAAATGAGCAAATATTTTAGAAAAATTTGACTTGAAAATTGTGCAAATCGCTCAAAATAAAAACTCCAAAAAATGAATTTGGAAAAAAAAATTTCAACAGTATAGCTCTTTAAAAACTTAAATTTGGTTGGAAAAAACTCTTACTCTACAAGAGTTCCCATCCAAGGAAAGTAAGTATGTCTTATGATCAGGTGATTTTCTTTCTCTTACCAATCATCTCTTATCAGCTTATTATTTCTTATTTTTAGATTTGATAAATGCCCCCCCCCCCTACTTTCTTTTCTCCCTTCACATTTACTTTCTTCTTTTTATAATTCTATACCATTACCGATACCATTGTCACAATGTCTATGCAAATTTTGGATTGACCCTCAGTCAAAAAGGCATATTTCATATCAAAAGACATGTTCACTAAGAATACATTTTACATTCATACAAAAAATAAAAATAAATTGATTTATAATACATTCAACAATTAGATATCATAAAAAAACAATCAACATACTAGTCATTATTAGTTAGTTACTAATATATAATTGTTTATAAAAATATATTATTTTGCAAAAAGTATCTCTTTTTGTATAAATTAATTAATTAATAAATCTAATAATTTAACAGCCTATACATTTATAATAAAGATAAATTTTCTCTCCATTTCTGTTGGTAATTTTATGTTAGTTATTTTTTCTAGCTATTTATTTTACATGAAATAAATTTACCTCGGTACACATAAATGTAACATCTCGTATTTTTCCGGTAGGAACAAGGAAATAAAATTGAGGACTCAAAACATCTTTTGATAAATCATAAATTTTGACAAACTCAGCTGATACTAATGCCAAACATGTTTGAGAGCCAGGAAGCCAAATTGATCGAATTATGAAATTTCCAACTTCTAATGTCGGATGAAGGACAATATGTTCATTCACTGTTCCACTTGTATTAAATGTTAAAATGTGGCAATCCTATAAAACAATAGATTGTGAATTGTATGACTATACATTTTAGTACAAATATAGAAGGTACCTTAAGACCACAGACTGATAGAAAATCTTCATTAACTGGATTTGCTGTCACTGATAGTACAGTAAAAGGTATAGAAACCGATGAAAGACGTGTCAGAGTAAGTTTGCGTTTTGATACATCAGATTGTTTTAATAATGAGCTCATTTGTAGAACTGCAATTTTTCCTTTGTCATGAGAGACAGCGACTACAAAAGTATACAAGAATATTATTAATTACAAATTAAATTAAAATAATATTAATTATACTGTATACACAACTATATACCAATGGTGTTAAATAATTGTAATTTACTATATGATCATGTAGATGAAAAATTATATAGGAACACTATTTTTTTTTTTAAATAAAGTTTCGAGCAAAATTTACATAACAACCTTACAATACAAAATTATAGTTTACATTTCGTCATTATAAATAATAATACTAATAAAATATTTTATACCAAGATGTTGCCTTTTTCCATGTAGAGAAGATAAACAACACATAGCTACACGACGTATCATATGAGCAGATAAGAGCTGTCGAATAGTTTGACCTTGATCTCCACTGAAATTCATTTTTACATTTTCAAAAGCACCTTCTTGAGATCCCATTGTAGGGAGCTACAATGTATAATTAATAATAATATTAATTAATAAGAGTAAAAAAAAGTAAAAAGAGAAATAAATAGGCACCATTAAATTATCTGAAACTTCAATGGTTTTTTCTAAATTACGCAAATCACTTAATGTATCTATTGCTCTTGTGTTACATCCAATTGCTGAATTTTTTTCACCAGACTTAATAACATCATTCATTAGTTGAGCACATAAATCTAATGTTGGTTCGATAATTTGGGTTTGATCCAGAATAGTTGGCATCAAAAAATTATTACAAGTGGCTAAACATAACAATACATTGGTATTAATTTAATGAATAAGAGGGAAAAAATTATTTTAATGTAGATTTATATCTGTATATAAGGGAACATATTATTTTTTATTAATGTATGTGTGTGTAAATGATATGTGTGATCATGTTCATGATCCAATGTCTTTCTTTCAAGAAATTGAATTTGTCATTTTTTAAAAAATTAGTATTTATATAAATTAGTTTCCAACTGCTAGAAAATTTTTGGGAATTAAGCATTTTTGTTAGTTTTTAGGATGGCAAATTATTTTTTGTGTTTTCCCCAATCATTGATATGAAAGATATATGATGAGGGCTAGGAAATTTTTAAGTCCTCTTATTTTTTTAAATTATTTTAAACAATATTATTTAAAATAAATAAATACATATTTAAACACTTTACTAAAAAATAATACATTCTATGCGTATACCTATTTCGGTAGGTCGTGTAATGATTGACTGTTGTTAGCGCTAAAGATGACAACATTGTTGCTAAATAAAGTATACACATAGTGTATTATTTTTATGATTAAAGGTTTTAAATATTCATTTTTTTACTGTATATACAACATACGTTGCAAACCATAAGTTGCTTAAAGATTTTCTAGTATATATTTTAAAACCGCTAATTTCTTATTTAATTTACACATACTGTAAAGTGTATTAAGTACTACTGATTCATATTCAAGGCTCCTTGTGCTTGCATTTCTTGGATCTTGGCTGTAATCAGCAGCTAAGGATGAATTATAACTATCTACTCGGTCTTGATCAACAGTCAAATTTCCACTTTCAGTAGTAACTATTTTGTCTTTTTGAATATTAGCATCAGGCACTGAATTTGGATTTCTCTTGGTTAAAGCCTGTTTAACAAAAGTAATAATAATAGTATGTTATCAATAATAACATAATATAATATATTATCAATGAATTAGTAAAAATAACAGAACAATAAAACAACAAACTATTATTATATTTATAGTAATTATATTAGATTTTACCTGACAGAAATTATTTTCTTTAGCTCCACAGTCACAGAAAAAGTTACCAAATTTAGCATAGGTAACATCATGTCCTCGGTGGCAAACTTTAGCACAAATACTACAAACGCCAACTCCTTCAATCATTTTACATGAATGACAATGATACCAGTGTTGATTCATAAATTCTTTTTGAGTAACAGTAAATGTACACAGCCTGTAGTATAGACTATCTTCATCCTATAATATTTGAATATTAAATCTTACATTTAAAAAATTAATACTAAAATTAAATGTGAATAAACAGGAAACATTTGTACATACTGATTCTTCAATTAATGCTTCATTTTCTTTCTCGTTGCAAGGTAAAAATCCATCAAACTCCATACCATCATAATAAAACAAAGACAAAGAATCAAGTAATGGAGGACGAGTAGTATTTTCAGTATCACTATACAACGCAGCTATTATATCAGACACATAATTCATCAAACAACTGGAAGCAATTACAACAGCAGGATATGTTTTTTTAGAATCATCAGATTGTAGCTGCACTACATTTGATTTAAGCCAAATTTTTATGGTATCTAATAATTTTATGCTGGCCTTGAATAATTTTACATGGCCTGCAGAACCACCATAATCCGCTAATCGTACCATTTGAGCAAATATTTTTGAAAAACCAGTGCCATTTTCAAAAACTAATGTGTAGGTCACAATTGGTATTAATGTATCCAAATAACATAAAGCTGCTTTTTTTTTTAGGTCATCATTTCTGTTATACAAAAAATTATACAGTTAATCATTAAATATTTAAACTAATTATATATTGATTAATAGTTAATTTAAAAATAAAATATTACTTACACATCTAATGTGACAACAAAATCTATCATATTTTTTATTAATTCAAAATTTTCATCTGAATCAACTGTAGAAGGTATGTTGCTCGTAAAATGTTTAACAGAATTTAAATGTCTTTCATTTAAGAAAACTGTCAATTCTTGAGACAAAAGTTTAACAGCATCAATCAAATCTTCATCTTTATTCCAGCCAACAATAATTCGTTGTAACCACAAATCTAGTCTATTTTTTGGGTCAGTTGATAATTCAATAATTGTACGACATATTATTCGGATATCTTGGTGATTATTCGTTTTCACTAAAATTCATGAAAAAATACAAAAATAAGTAACAAAAAATACATTTATCTTTTTTTACTTACAGTTTAAAAACAATCGATTAGCCAATCTTACAAAAGCTCTAACAAAAACACCAGACGAAATAAATTTCTTTAAAGAAATCACTTCTTTAGGGGTGTTAACACAAAACGTTCTTAAAACAGCATACCGAGCAGATGAAAATTCAAAAATCAATTGCTCAATCCAAAACAGACTATGTATTAAGGTTTTCTCAATCATGTAATCTCTAGAATAATATTAAAATACATATTAGAAATTAATGATAACTAATAATTATAGTACCTCTGTTATTTATTACAATAACAAAAACTGCCATTTATAATTATTAATTAAAATAAAATAAATTCATGACAATAGTATTTCTTACGTGTTAGTAGTATCATCAGATTTGTACTGAATTGCTAATTTTTTAATTTTTTTGGTGATAAGTATAGCTATCATAGTAGCTGGATCGTGATCACCTGGATTTTTCAATTTTTCCAATGTAGGAATAATATGCTCTAAAAGATATTCTGATGAACAATCAACTGTCATAGAACTCAAGAGATTTGCAAAATCTGATCGCAATTTGAAATCAGTGCATAACCTGAATATTTATAATAATTGATTATTATTTTTCAAATGTATAAAAATCACTTAAGAAATGTACAACTTAAAGCAACACCTTAGACTTAATAATACACATAAATGCAATAATAAATATTAAATAACTCCCACAGTTTGTTCTTTTATGTTTATCTACATAATTTGGAGTACCACATTTAAATATAATGTAACAAATATCTTAATGTGATTTATATTAACCTGTCGCTGGTCGCTTGAGATATAAATATACCAAAGTCAAATTTAGTACCACTTAGATTTAGGTAAGAAATGTGACCAGCGTAGGTCACAATTTATTTGTAGTTAAAACTCACAAGCCTGCTTAAAGTGTTAAGGACAGAATTTATAGCATTGATTACTGAATAATAGGCTTTAAGTATTATTTTATATTTTGATATCTTATTGTAGATTATTTAATTAATTATTACGATTTCCTATTCATCTACTCCTATTCTTTATTTTGGACTTCTTCGAAATGTTATGCTCCAAGATCTTAAACTACTCTAGTGGGTAAAAAAAAGAAGATCCTGTCAGACAGTAAAATTTCCAATTTAAATAACATGGGGTTATCAAAACTTTTTTGACATTTTCATGTCTTAGCTCTGGCATATATTTGAAAAAATTGTTAGTTTCAAAAGCGTTATATCAAAAGCGTTACAAATGGGGGTAAGTGATAGAGGGTAGGGGGTAGGAGATAGGGGATTGGTAAGAGATAGGGGGCGAAATTTATTTGGTACTTCAACGAGACATGAAAATGCTCTTACGTGGTTGCAGACTTGGCTGAAAAATGATTTTTCAATATTTTTGGAAGATTAAATAAAAAAATCTTAAAAATATGGGACCAACATGAGTTGCTAGTATATGACGCATACATTCAAGGTAAAATTTATTAGTCAGCCATTTTGTGCATTCGCAGAGTCAAAATATAGTTTTCTAGCTAAATTTCAAGTTTTTTCATGTATTTTTATAAAAGATATATAGGTAGGATTAGCATTTTCACGCAGACGCAATTATTTATTTATCTATTAATTATTGATTTGATTTATATAATTATGTGACATATATGACATATGGCCGTAAACATGTTAAAAGTGTGAACTTTTTCCACCATACCACTAAAGGTTAATTATTTACTTGTAATAATAATACAACGCATAGAGTATTACCCATAAAACAAAATATTTCAAATATTTAACTCACTGTATATTGTCTGTGATAAAAACAACAAGCGTATGAAGTAAACGCTTTAAAGATGGAGTATTGAAATATACTGTCTGATTTGAAACAAATGATGCATGATGTTTCACAATATTCTGAATTAAATTTTCAGGTAAAATATCCAAATTAGTAGCCTGTAATTTAAAAAGTAAATTAAAACAATATTCCCATAATTGATTAATGTTTATAACTGTCTAAAACATACTTAATCTATAGTGTTAAAAAGTTTTTAAAAGGAAATACATTTTTTAAATTAAAAACTGATTGAATCAGTGTATCAGAAATTGTACATCAAAGTATCTTCAGAAGGCCACAGTTTAAAATATATTTTATGTTAAGAATGTTGCGGTTTTTTAATTATTATTTGATTTTCATGTAAGGACCTGTCTGATTTTTAATCAAGTCTAATGGTCACACTATTTTTTTTTTTAATACATTTTATTTATCAACATCAAGGATTTATATAATTATAGTTAAAATTATTATTAAGTTTTTTTATAAATTATTTTAGTATATAAAATTACAATTATACAATACTAACCTTTAAGTTTGGACCAATAGATATGGAATTCCACTTGGTAATTACAGAAATCACCCATGAAGGAATACCATCATATATCAGAGATGGTAGGTTATAGGTTACAGGTGAAAATTCAAGAGACGATTGATTACTTGACATTGATAATATTATTTTTAAATTATTTAAATCTCCCGGTGTAAACGTCTGTGCTTGATGCAAATGTTTAACTTGTTGAAGAAGATTATTCCTTAATAATAATACAATAAATTAGTAGTATAATGGGTAGGGCTGTCTTACGACAACAAATGCAGCATGAATTAAAGAGAGGCCCCAAATTTATAATAATGTAGGAAAAGGGAGGAAGTGTGGCAAAAAAAATACTAATAAATTAAAAATATTAGTGATACCAAAAAATCAAAATATTTTACTTTAAATTATTATCAATAATATTAAAAATAATAAAAACATAAATAAAATAAAGGACACGGTGTAGGACAGTTGCCACCGTAGTTACCACTCTTGGCTGTAGTTAAACTGAACATAATGTTGCTATTTTAAAGAAGGGTAACTAACCAGGAATTTTAAAGACGAAGCCATGTTTCTAATATAACTCTACCTTTTTTTACCAACTGTTTTAAAACTAACTGTAAAAATGTACTAAAAAAAAAAAAATCAAAATAACCTCAGGTGTCATGTAATATATAAAATAACTTGGGTAACAAGTTTAAAGGAAAACAAACAATAAATTTGAAATAAAAAAATTTAGGAGTTATATGATATGTTTAAAATAATAAGAATCTACTAAAATTACATAATGCATACTTGATATTTGTAAATGTTAATGTAGCCAACTCGACACAATATGGCATCAACATATGTACTAATTCTGTACTTGGAGATCTAATAAAAATATAAATTATATTAAAACTAATAATTATTTTAATTAAAAAACTGAGTATGAAACAATTCATTACTTAGAAATGTCTTCAGGTGTTTTTCCTGCTCTAGATTGTACATATATTTTTGATATTACCGCATCATACAATATTATATCCAATAACAAAGGACATTGAATCTTAGTTTTGGCATCTAAATTTTAAAGAAAAATCATTACTTAATTATAAATTATGATCAGTCCTGTGAACTATGTAAAATATTAACAAAAACAACATGTGGAGCATGTGTAAATCGTAAAAAGTATAACTAGGTAATTATGTAAACTAACAAATAACATACAAAAAAAACCATAATACCTGTTTGTTTAATATGTTTAATAAAATGAGCTTCAGCTATTTGGTAATCATATTTATTTGATAATGTTGCAGCTGTAACACTTGTTAATAATGCATGAGTATTACATACATTTGTATCTTTATCACTTGTACTTTCTGAAATACTATTTTGTTTTAGAACACCTTCCTATAAATAAAATACTACACATTAAATAAATGTAATAATTTAAAATTAAATTAAAACCAAAATATTACCTTTAACCAATTACTATAGACTTTAGAACTACATCTATTACCCCATATTAAAAAATATAATAAACTTGATGTATCAAATCCTGAGGATTTGTCGTCTACCATTTCTTGTAACCTTTGTGTAGGTACTGGTAAAGATAAAAGTAATCTAAAATATTAATAATTAATATTAGTTAATAGTGTATAATAATATTATTTTTCGATGATGTTATCAAGCTTCTTATTAGTCAATAAGTACTATGGAAAAAATTAGTCATACAGAAATATCATTTTAGAATTACAAGTTTTTAACAAGCACAAATACAGTGTTTTAATTTAATGTATGTATGTATAATTTATGAAATTGCTAATAATGAAGCAAACATCCTTTTTATAAATAATTAATTCTATAAATGAAATTCAATTCATACTTCCATGCCAAAGTAAAACAGTATTCAATACTACAAAGTGTAAGTGGATTTAAAGATTTTGATGTTGCATTTTCATTTTTTCCACTATCTGTAATTTCTGATTTCATGCATAAATTGATTGTTGAAATAATATCCAACAAGGCTTCTAACAATTGTGGATAACTTAATTTTTCTGGATAACTAAGTATAAAATTAACAGCCTAAAAATAAAATTTTAATAATTACAAAAATTTAAAAACTTAATAAAGTATGTTATACATATGTTATTTCAATTATTAAATTAGTTATTTTGTTTTATTGTTGTATACCATAAAACAACATTTTTTTAGATATACTTTTTTAAAATAAATTTTATTTAAATGTTTTTAACATATCATTTGGATGATTATTATGCCTATTATAAGCAGTAAAAAACTTTTACCAAATGCACTACAATTAATTTCATATTTAAAAATTGTATATTACACATCAAATAATACCAGACTTATTTATAAATATTATGTTATTATATGTTTTAAAAAAATTATACATCAATATTAATGTAATAAGATAATACAAAAAACGTTTATTGTAGTGCATACTAAAATTACCAAAAAACCTTTATTTATAGCTTATATAATATTCATAACAATCAATCAAATGACATTAAAAAAAAAAATGTTTAATCTCTTTTTAATGAAGATATTGGAAATTTACTATGTAATCATTCATTTTTTTTATATTTACGTAATCAATTATAGATTTTGGAAGTCAAAAAAACTGTATTCTACATAAAAAATACTACAATTTAGGTATGACTATATAATTTGACCTAAAATTGAATAACTGATGAAATTTTTTTAGTCAAATTACTTAAAACACGTTAAGCGACCACTAGTTTTTTTTATAATTTTCAATTACTCACCAAACCGTCCAACTTTGGAACTTCATTTCCAGTCTGTTTATCATCAAGAAGTTTATAAAAGCAAGGCTCTACGGCCACTGAATATCCAATACCATCAGATTTTTTTCGAAAATTGTCTTCAATAGAGTTATACAACAAATATGTGTGTTTTTCAGTTAATTGTGCATTACTCGTATCTTCTTTCACTACATTTTTGATACGCATCAAGTTCCATTCAACCTAAATAAAATAATATTTTAGTTATAAAGTACCAATAAAAAATAAATGTTGTATATTTTTAATATTACTTGTGACAATAAATATTCTGGAACATCATACAATCTTCTAACCATATAATCAAAACACAAAAGTAATCTGCTTAAGGCCAAAATATGATTATTGTGGACTGGGTTTAGAGCCAAATAACATTTAGCTCCAATTATAGTGTTACAAATAGAAAGGAGAATTGTTTTCTTATGTGTTAATGACATTAAGGTGAACAAAAATATTAATAGCTGTGCATGTTCTACATTCAAATCTGAAAACACAAACAGTAATTCTTCTGTTAGTACATAGTTTCTATTAATATGTATTAAATCTGTGAATTACCTTCAAAATCATCATTATTATTTACAGAATGCTCAATTATATTGCTTAATGAATTGATTAAACTTTGCCAAATAAACATTGATAGTTCATCTCTTTCAGACATTGGCTTTTTAAGCAACACCTATAGTGTTATACAAATAAGTATGAATTATAAAATACACATATTTAAAGTACAAAATAAGTGATAGATGTATGGCTAAGAAGTTGATGTACTTTAAATAAAAATTTGAATTGACTTAGAAATTAGTTTATAAAAACATCAAAAATTAAAATTCCAAATTTGTTATTTTGTCTTCTTTGTATTATTTTTACTTTTGAGTATAATTTATGTATAAACTTAATGCATTTTACACAAATTATTTACCATTTTTTAAATGTTCTGGTTTATTTTGTACGAAATTAAATTTAAATAAGGTATGTTTTACATACTTATGATTGTTATTTTTCATCAACAGATGATATTTAGAACATTTATAGGTTTTATTTAATTATTTTAACATAATTTTAAAATTGTCAACTTCTGAGCTTATAGATTAAATTGTATTATTTATAGGTATACAATATAATTATACTTGTGCTAATATTGCTAGTGTTCTGGGATATATTTGTAATGGCCATTTGGTACCTCCATTGTCCATTGGGATTTTAATTCCTATTAATTCAAGTAACTCATTTTGTTTATGAGCTGATAAAAAATCTTTAGCAATCAAATTATGTAAAAATACTCCAACAGAAGAAGAAGCATTTTGATGAATATCAAGAATACAAGCTGAAATATTTATATAATAATTTTATAAAATATATAATAAATAAATATATTGAGCTAGGACCTTTACTTAAGTCATTATAAACTGGAGCCCAATCAATGTCGGTGATTAATTTAGCTAGTACACCCAAATTATCAGACTTGACAGCATCACGAGTCATAAATGTAACAATATATGCACATTCAGTACTTAAAAAGCATACATCCAGTAAGTTAAATACTCTTGTCGTCAATGTTAAATACTAAAAATTAATATTTAAATTTTATAAAGTAACTTATTTTTAATATACCAATATCATTGTCTTCATTACCGATTCTGGATCATCACTTTCAGGTACTACCTTATAATTTGCTGTACTAGTTACACTTTTATTAAGATCTGTATATTCAGTGACCTGTGGTTTAGTAGATAAATTTTCTATCTGCTGATCACCTAATGTTAGCACCTCTTCAAACCAAGCTCCAAATAATGACTCATTATCTACATCTATAATATAAAAATATCATTAAAATATTTTAGAAAAATAAAATGTTATTTTTTTTAATCTACCTTCTTCTTCGGGTGTTACACTTTCCGGTGTCCCAGGAAATGTATCCATTGATTCTAGACTTACAGTATGAACACCATTCACTTTGCTTTTATTTTGATTAATAATTAAACATATTGCCTACAAAGATATACATAATATTTTTGAAAACTTACTTTTTTAGCTTAATATAAAGGGGATTTAAAACGATCAGTATTTTGAAAAAAAAGCCTGACAAAATTTAATCTAGTTAGGATGGTCCGAAATCAAGTCTGTTAAGAGATATGAGTTATTTGGCTACTATACTAGGTTATTCCAGAAACATATTTTTTACTTCTTTTTTATGTAAAAACCTGATTTTTTAACAAATTGCCAGCCATTTAGCAGTTACACAAGTTGCTAACATACTTGTTTATTTTTTCAGGGAGATGTTATCTTAAGATTAAAATTATTAAATGAGATGAATTTTTTAAAATATTTTATACTGCCAAGAAGCCAACAAATTTAAAAAATGTGGCTGCCAGTTTTGCTGCAAAACACTTATTATAAAATCAAAAGATAACCAAACAAATTTAGAACTAAATAAATATTTTCAAAAAAGCTGTGCTGTAATTTTAAGATGCAAGATGTAAAATGTATTGCTTTTAGAGTGTTTAGTGTTATTATTTTATTAATATAAAATTATTATTATTAAAACAATACCTTCTCATCTTTACATCAAAGTTAATAAGGAATAACTAACAAACAAAAATAATTTTCACTTGAACTAAAAATGACATATAATTTAATCAATATGGGATTCCCGGCACTACCCTTAGCTAAGGTGTTAATTAAAAAAATTACCTTATGATGGCTAACTTTTGCCAACTTATAAAAAAAGTTTATAAACGGTACAGCTTGCAAAATCTGTAAAAGTCGTTCACTTGCACTCGAATTAGCACAAATATCTAATTTTGCTACCGAGTTTACAACATTCCGCTCAGCACAGCTCATTAGTTGTTCAGAAGTCGATTCTTTTTTTGCATTTTCTAACAAATCCATAAGCATATTAAGCATTTCGTTTGCCAATGCAACTGATAGAACATTAAATAAACTAAAACATTTAAAGACAATTTTATTACAGTTAACTATGTCATATAAATCCTTAATTTCTTATTTAACTCAAATTATATACAATAGTGTTCAGTAGAATATTACCTTTTAGATGATTTAGCTGCCATATCTTTTCCTTTGTTTTTGGTTATTTTTTCACTATCTTTAATTTGATTCAGTTTATACGTTTTTGTACAGATATCATTAAGACCATATAAAAGGACCCAAACTACAATCATATAATAATTCTGATGAACCTTGAACCATAAAGAAAAACATATACACCATTAAGATTTTTCAAATATTATTTACTAGCTAATGCTTAAAAATAATAATTATGTATATTATGCTATTAAACAATGCAAAAAGACTATTATCCAAGCTTGTTGTTTTTAATTTTAAAGCTTTAAATATTAAAATACAAAAAAATACACTTCTCAGTAGTAGCATATTTGTGTATTCAATAGAAATGTACTATTATTGCTCACAACACAAATCAATCTAAAAAATTATTGGAACTTAAATGTTTATTATTTGGTGAAGCAGTCTCAATCACGGTATGAGCAACATTGAACCACAGCTCAGAACCTAACCTAACCTGAGGATGGAAGGTGCAAATGTTTTGAAACATTAACAGACAAATCAATCTATTGAAGTGGGAGTAACCGAAAAATATGTATCTAGTGTAAATACAACTCAATATGTTGTAAGCGCTGATGGTAATAGCATTGCTACCAATATGCACGTATAGTGTATTTGCTACTATTAGAAAGTGTATTTTTTTTTTTTAGGTTTATAGTATTTTTTTAAATGTATTATTTTATTATAACTGTATATAACCACAAGTTTTGTTCAGTTTTCCAGCTTTGAATAATAAAATTTAAATATGTTTAATTTCTCACTCTTTGTACTTTTTTATAATAAACTAAATATGAATTAGAAACACATAAAAGTAGCTGCTAGTGCTTTCTAAGATGAGATTAACCATGTAAAACTGAAATAAGAATAAAACCCTTAGACCTTGAGGAAAAGTTGCAAAACTTATATAACTATGAAAATTATATTCATCTTAACTTATAAATTATAACTTATAAATTCACTAAGAAAGGTCAGTTTTTTAAGAATGAATTACTTCTATATATTAGATATAAATATAGTAAAATATATATATTTGTTATATTTGATTGTAAAATTCTATTAGTTTTGAACCAAAAAATACTTCACTTACCGATTGCGAATACTTTTTCAATGTACTTGAAACTGTCTGCATTATAGTGACAATTTTTTCAATAGTTTGGACAGCTTGGTTCCACATAACATCTTCTTCTATATTAATATTGTCTAATAAAATATATATATATATATAAAAGAAAATATTCTAAGTTATTAATCATTATCATGCAGATATTGATAGTTAACTTTATTTATTTTGATTTATTTTACAAACATATATTATTAAAGGAACAATATTTTTTGGTTACCTGCACTTATTGTTGTATTATGATGTATACCTTGCACAAACAATGCTACCCTAAGACAAGCTGTGATAATACTAGTTACTTGTTGTAAACACTCAATAGTTAATGGTTCAAATATTGGTAATGCTAACGCATTTTCAACAAATGTAATATCCAATAGCACAAATCTCCATCTAAAAAAACGACAAGATAGTAATAATCATTAATTACTATTTGTAACAATTTAAGGTAAGCATAATATAAATCTTAATAATATTATGTTATAAAGTAGCTAAAAATAAATGTAACAGCAAATTTAGGTGTAAGCCCAAGTTCTAAAAACCATAATTTTACAAAGAACCTAATTAAATAATATCCAAAAAATTGAATGTAGATAATTTTGTTATGTCTTTTTTTATATACATTTTTATTTTATATTTGTTTTGGTTTTTTTATGAAATAGTTAAATATTGTAAATTATGTTAATATACTATACAATTGTGAAACTTAAACTATACTAAGAGAAGAAGATGAATAGAAGAGTTTGAAATGCGTTGCTATAGAAGGATGTTTAAAGTAAGTTGGACGGAGAGAGAATCTAATGACAAAGTATTTAATGAGAATAGTAAAGAAGTTTTATAATGAATCACTAGAAATTGTACTATAGGTATCTTATTTTTTTAATGATTATACTTTTTACATTTCAAACGCTATTACTATTTTACTTACGATAGCTTAGATCCGATTGGTTCTGAAAACTTCAAAATATTTTTCCCACTATCATGTTGTGGATCAATTTTAATTATATATCTCTTGAGCATTGGAAGTTTAACACAGGTTTCAAAAATGACATTATTCGCTCCCATTTCTTGTAAATTAGAGATATTTTTTTCAATTAACAAACTCTAAAAAACAATACAAGCAAACGGGTAATACAATTAGATTATAATATTATATTGTGAATTTACACAATGTGTGTGAATATTTATACCTTAACATCTTCATCGTTTTTTTTCAAAGGACCATTTAAGCAAATTTTACTTCTATCCAAAGGTCTTATAATTTGGTCAACTACGTAAGCATAAGCTTGTGCTTTTTTACATTCTTTTTCTTTATTATCTTTATAAAATAACAAAATTACAATAATTAATATTTAATGAATAAAATTTAGCAAATAAATGATTAAGTTTTTATTTATTAAAACAAACATACTGTAATTATGAGTATTAGAAGGCCACTCCTTTATAAGAGCTGCAACAGTAACAAAGTCGGAAGCACCTAATGGTTTTGCAGCACACAAAGCCGAGATTGCAGCTAATGCCAAATTTAGATGGGATGAGCAAGAATCCCAACTATTGCCATCTCTTATTTGTCCCATGTATGTAAGAAGGCATTTTAGAAGAGTTTTACAACTTCTACTCAAAGCTGATAACTCATTTGTTTCAACTAAACAAAAGTATTAATTAATACACTACATAAATAAAAACATATATTTATAAATATTTTAAAACATTACATAAATTACAGTGTTGACCAATGTAATTTGCAGCTAATGTGACAAAATAAAAACAAAATTTGTTTTCATTGATATCTTGTTCAAGTAGATTGTCTTCACTATAAATTAAAAAATAATACAAAAGATCAAAAACGATTTAAGGTTATTGTATAATATACATATTTATTTTATCATATACATTATATGTACTAACCTTTGACTAATAAACTTCAACAATGAAATCACATTGTTTTTGGAGCTGGAGCTAGTATCGTAAAATATAAATTTTACGGATGCCCAGTCTAAGTCACATGAAGAAGACATTTTTATTTCTCATCCAAAGCTAAGAAGAGACACCCATACCATTTACAATCCAAACCTAGCTTTGACATAATAGAACTGAGTATAAGATAAATTTATCAACTTTATTTTAAAAACTTGTTCCCGAATCTCACAAAAAAATATATATTTTCTTAAAAAATATACATAATAGTTACTATTATTATTGCTAGTATTGTTGCATTACAAAATTATATTCAGCTATCTCAATTTGAGCCGTCCTAAATTAAATGTAATAACCATACTATAAGCACTTAAGTTATTTGTAATTTACAGCGACAACGATATTACTAAAGTTTCAAACATTAAACATTTATTAAATTTAAATTTGAAATTACTTAACAAGTAAAATACATAGGTACTATGCATTAACATTTACAATGACATATTGTTTAAACAAAATGTATCAAGCAATTACGACAATATTGTTGAAATATCGGCAAATCTATTGCTACAAAATAAACTTACAAATAATTGATGTTATAGTAGTAACTAATAGGTATATTATGTTAAGTAAACTTCACATAATAAATACCATAAGTATGACAAAATTACTCTGTATAATTTAGTAAACTCGACAAATTGCGAACATAATTTTACAAAATTAAGACGCAAGTATCATTATTCATTCACCAACTGATTTGCAGTTTTTACAATCGCTGTTGAACGTTGGTATGTAAGGTAACTAAAATTAAAATCATAACCTAGGTTTAGTAACCGTTTATATGATAAAATATAGTGGTTATATCACCTTGATTAAACTGCAGCACGATGTAGGGAAAATCTTCTCTACACCGTGCGGGTAGCCAATCAAAATCAAATATATGAGTACATGGTAAAATATAATATAGTAAATGCTGATAAATCGGCTGTTATCATAAACGCGAACGAATATAACATGTATCCTAAGTAAAAAATAAAAAGTTCCACGATTTGCCACGAGGAACGCTAGCAGTCTCTTATTCATATTTTTAGATAAGAAATCTCGTGATACGTACCAAATTCATAGACTGTAATAATTATATACCAATAGACGAAGCATAAATGGGTGGGATGCAGGCGGGTGTTGAGAGCACGGTCACAGAATAAATCTTATAGTTCATCAAAAAACAATCAGACATTTTGAGATTTAGCCAGTGATGCAAGAACTCCGATATTTCCTTTTTTTAATTCGACTGTGTTTCATCATTCATGGCTACACAACTACAATAGGCATGTTTTGGCGATGTGTTACAAGTAAACTGGGTAGTTGGTTGCTGATATTGTTAACTGGATTAGCTTAAAAGTTACCTCTTCACCAATACATTTTATACATTTAAATATTTGAATTCCAATAGAATTTAACAATGCGTGTTTTTATAGTGACTTTGTAAACATATACTCTCAACAACTTATACATGGTATTTACTTCCCAGTGAGGTTGCGCCGCCCATTTATAAGGAGTAAGTATAGGCAAGTTTTTACAAAATCTTAATTTAAAGGTTAAACTGTGATGTGTAATTATTAGTTCAATAACTAGGACTATTTTGGTAGTTAATTTATTTTTTGGACTATCACAGCATCCTTGAAAGCGATTTAAAAATGTTTTTTTTCATCTATACATGTTTATGCCAACTGAAAATAACTCGCTTAATTCCACTCATTGTTGTTTAATTTTATGTAATCGTCAAGATAAATTGTAATATGCAGAATCTCAATAAAAAAAAAACTCAATTTTGGTTTTAGAGTAAAAGAACCCATTATAATATTAAAAGAGAACGATATTCCGGATGGCAAGACGGTGCGTTTTTTTCATTATTCCAAGTATAACGCTCAATACATAGTTTATAAATAACGACTAATTTAACATTTTTAAATGACTGTAACTTTACAAAAAAAAACGCACCGTCTTGCCCTACGGAATATTGTTCTCTTTTAATTTTATAATGGGTTCTTTTACTCTAAAACCAAAATTAAGCGAGTTATTTTCAGTTTGCGTAAACATGTTTTTACCACTGAAAATCACCGGTGCGACGCCCGGGCTGTGTATATCTACTAGTGATAGGAATTCGAAAATCCGGATTATCAAAAAAAAACGTTATTTAAGCCACTTAAAAATCGTATAAATAATATTATTACAATTTAAAGCTGCGAAGACCCTAAGTAAAATATTTTTGATGAAAATATAAAAATAAACCTAACACCGAAAAGATAAATAATTGCTTTTGGATTTCGGATTTATTGAAATACGAAAGCAATTTATAGCTACTTTGACTTACTGAGAACTCAATCCTCCACTCAAGTCGACGGATATAGACTATTGCATATTATAATCACATATAATAATATAACACAATTTCCTTATACACACATAAATAATATGTATAATTAAATGAATGCAAACGATTTGGGCGCATGTTATGTAGAAGACACGAATTTAAATATTGAACACAATGCCCAATGAGCTCAATATTTAATTTCGGGTATTACATAATATGCGCCTAAATTATTTTGCGTTCATTGAACATCGCGACCAAAAAACTATACCTACAACCTTTTAATGCATTTAATCGCGTTAGTCGCGCTCAACTTACTGCGACCGTTAATTGACGTGGAACTTGAAGAACAATCCCCAAATTACGCTATTACTTTTTAGTTTTAACATTGATTATAAATATTATAATATTTATAATCAATGTTTTTACCTAAAAAAAATTACTAATTTTTAATTTTACATTTTAATACGCCATACCTTTTATACTTACCTATAGCATGAGTTCATTAACACGTAAATGCAATAATATAAATTATAAGAAATGCGGAAAACTATTTAAAATTTAACACAAGCCAGAAGATCGTTTAGCATTCTTTTTTCAACACGTTTGACACGGTAAATATTTATAGACAGATACACTGTACACAATAAAGACATTTCTCTTCATAAAAGTTAAGTAAGTCCACCCAATCATTCCCTCAAAAAATGTCATCACAACATCAATGCGCAATGAAAATTCTTTCGCCGCGGAAGTGTAGAGGACAAATATAAAAGGGAGTTATTAAATTAGCGCCTATACTGGAAACAGGAAATTGAAAAAACCTTGTATTCTTGTAACATTTACCTCCTAAATTTAACATCGAAGCTAAAACAATAAATTTTATAAAAAAAAAACAATAATGTGAATTATATATATATTAGAGTATAAATAATTCAAGGATTTTTGATGTTTGTCATTGTATAGCAACATTTTTTTCGTGCCACAATAATTTGTTCATTTGTACTTTTTGGAGTAAGAGACAATTGTATACTGTTTTAACTAATGGCCTAATAAAATATATTTTTTATGACATTTGATTTACTTGAGGTTTTTCTGTAAGTATATCTTGCTTTAGAAAACAAATATTATCGTTTCAAAAATGAAAAAAATTATTAAGTCCTACACAATATACATTTAGGTAATATTTTTATTTATATAAATATATTTTACAAAAAACAATTGTGTATACATTTGTGTTTTGTAAATCGCAATTAACATATTTATACTATATAAATTAAATATCGTAATTTTTATAGATTAAAATGTTACAGACTAAAACATTTTTACACTTGATTTGTTATACGAGTGGTATTTGTGAATGGCGTGATTCTAGTGTTGTTTAGTACGCTTGTATTGTTGCCCAACGATGAGATATCGATACTCACAGAATGCGTAGAAACAGTTACATCTGGTTTTGGCATCTCGTTATCTGTCCAACTGGTCGCAAACTTATGAGTTTTTATATTATTCTTTATATTTTCATAGTAACTATAAACAAAATTAGTAAATATTATTTTCACGCTAAAGCTAAACAAAAGTAATCGATGCTAGTAAGTTCTTAATAATTGTACGTAGAGTCGGATCTACTTACAAGCAAAATAAGCATTGCTTACGCCTTACGGCCCTCGAAAAAATTCAGCTTATTAATCGGCCAATATAAAATGTATTTTACGATTACGGCCCACCGGTCGTTAATAACATTTTTTAAGTTTTTCATCGACGTCTTTATTATTAATTACAACGAACGAAAATAAGTATACTGTATAAGAATATTTTACTTAACGTGTATAAGATGACAGTACATTTAAATGTAACTGAAAGTTTTCCAAATGTTGCGAAGGGTTATTACGTTTATATCTTTCTGTTATGTTACTGATTGTACTAATGAAAGATCTTTTTTCCGATTAAAATTAAAAAAAAAACTTATGAAGATCTTCACTATCACAAAATAATCTGCAAAATCTTGGAATTTTGAGCATCGAGATTTCTAAATCTTTAGACTTTAAAGATGTTATCCGAACCTTTGCAAATTAAAAAGCTAGAAAAAAATATTTATGTATTGATGAAGAGGATTAGCAAGTTGACAGTTGCAACGACGACAGTGACTGATTATATAATAAATATAAATGTATGTTTACCTATATATTTTAATAATTTCTTAGACTGATTAAATGTTTTCTTTTTGGCATGATAACGTATTAAATATTATCTATATTCATAAATAAAACTATGCAACAATATTTTTAATTTATAGTTCTAACCAAATTCTGGAAAGACTTCAACACACGAATCATAATATATTTTATTGGTGTTATATTTATTTGGTTATCAATTAGGTCCATCTGAATAATTTTAAGGGCTGCGGGGAAAAAATATCAATGTCAATTTTTGTTCATTCTGAGAAAATCATGTTTTTAATTTCAAAACGTAATACATTTTGCCTGTATGCCTAAAGTTCCGGCGATCGTTACTCTCGACTAATCTGTTTTTTTTCCTGGTTCGAGCGCATAAAAGATACAATACGTCATTACAAATAATTTGATACCAAAATCTAATTTTTAAAAAAAATTGACATTGATCTTTTTCCCCAGCAGCCTTTCATTTGTTTACGGCCCTCTACGTACTTAATCCGACTATGATTTTACGGTGAATAATTAATGAAACTAAAAACATCTAAATTTGTTTTTTAATTTAAGTTCCTATAAATCATTTTTTTCAATCTGGCTGTTCAGATATGTTTAGTACAAGAAATCTGAAAATAAGAAGATGAAGATGTTAACGACTGTCACCAGACTTACATATTACATTAAAAATTATAATTAATGTAATTTGAATCTAAAAAGCACAATACTGCCAGTATTTAATTTCAAAAAAATGTTACACAGTCTAATCTAGCAATACACTTAATGAGCATTAACCAGTGACTAAATTAACATTCCAGACCAGTAGCACAAATAAGAAAACAAGTACATTCTAATAACCTACTATATTATATTTACCTATTTGGGCGGTCATTATCAACTTTTTTTATTTTTTGTACCTGAGACCGATTCAAATTATTTATTTTCTTTAAACACGTGAGATTATGACAAATTTCAACAGAATTGTACTATGAGAACACGTGCCCAAAGCACTCGAAATCACTATCACAATGCTAATAATAAATCAACGATTTAAATTAAATTTTATATGAGTATCATTTTATTAAAGCCTAAATAAAAGAAGAAAAAAAAATGTTTGCCAACACTAAAAATGTGAAAAATCATTTTTATAATAATCTCTTTTATTTTAAATTGAATTACAAATTGAGTATTTTTATCTAATTAGCTCAAAGTACTAAACAGGAATAATTTAAACAATTGTTTACTGAGGCTTGGCAGTTTTTAGGTACTGATATAATTTTTTTTGATATTTTGCTAATAATATCTAGCTTTTACTCATCGCTCATAAGTCATTTTTGTTTTAATTAGGCATAGGTACTTACTTTTTTAAAGATGAAAAAGATACACATTAAGCAGGGTCTCAGACTCTCAGGTAAAAAAAAAATATGTATAAAGACCACTCTATACCCACACAATTTGTTTTAAATTACTGAAGTTCCTTATAAAGTGGTTATAGTTGTATGGAAGATTACAATGCAACTAGGAAAACCATTGTTTACCGAATATCTAATAATTCTTATATTTTTGGTACCTATATAAACTAGAATATTTTCAGAACCAATATTACAGATTTAAAATTTGTTTAAATGACAAATAAATTCCCATCTGGCAAAAACAGTAAAATGTTTGTTCATTTCTGCATAATATATGCATGTTGAATTTGTGTACTTTTTTTTAATATTTTAAAATGTTTAAATAAAAAATATCACAATACGCTTAAATACTATCACGTGAAAAGCGCCCGACTTGAAGACATTTTTTAGAAACTAAGCCCCCCTATTTCTTGCGCTTCTGTTTCGGGCAGATCTTTAGTAAATAGTAAATACCTACGTTGTAAAAGGTTTATTCTGAGGAAGTTGTGGTTGTGGTGGTTGTCCATAACGAGAGGACGGCGGTTGTTGTGGATTGTACCGCATCGATGGTGGTTGTTGAGGTTCGTATTGCATTGACTGTAACGGATTTTTTTCGTGTTGTAGAGGCGGTGGCTGTTGGTAGTAAGGTCTAGGATCAACGTCAATAATAGTAAACCTTGGCGAAGGACTCCTTTCGGAAGGAGTATTCTGCCGATTACCCCTGACGTCGATGACGTCCGATTGAACGACAGCAACATCTGGATATTTATTGTTGTCGCTGTTATAAGGTTTTTGTAGCGGTATCTCCACTAGATCCCTTTCCCATCCAGAACCCCTATTTAATGTTTCTTTATCCCATGCAGTATTTTGGTTAAACGGTTCTTTGTCCCAAGTAGGAACTCTATAAAATGGTTCCTTGTCCCATGAGGAAATTCTTTTTAACGATTCCGGCCAAGTCGTGAACTTGGACGAGAATTCGTTGGGCCGGAAAAATGAGTCACGGAACTCGGCGGGTTCGTCGTACCTACTATTATATGACGAAGTGGTAACAGTGGTCTGACCTCTGTTGTTGTAACTGTTTTCGTAGGGCAATAGACGCGTTCGCTGACCGTCCGTGTTTGGTCTAAAAACGAAACGCATGAGAAAACAAATAATATGTTAATTAGTCTGCTGAAACGTTTTACACTCTGCCAAACCTGTTGGAGTCCAAGTGACGGAAGTCGGCTGCAGAGTACGGCGATATGTATGGCTCGGCGGGATACGGCGGTGGTGGGTAATTCGGTCGAACGATGTCGGGCAATGTAGCGTAATAAATGATACGCTTGGACGTTCTGATGGGCGCTTGCTGTTGGCGTGAGTTATAGTAATTCTCATTGTGTTGTTGGTGTTGATAGTATGAAGTGACAGCTGGCAATACGGTTTCTTCTGCACGCGGATAAACGTTGATTTCGGGACGAGGTCGATGACGATCCCATCCGTTAGACGTGATAAATTTGTGATTTCTAGGATTCCGGACTTCCAGTTCCGTCGATCGTAGAAACCTGTCGCACGGCGTTGTCACATTATTATCGGTAACAGCTGAGGCGTTGTCGATATTTTGTTTTTCTTCTGGCATTTTCAACTCCACTATGTCGGAATGAATAGACTTCAAGAACAGTATAATCGGTAGAAATCCTAATAATATCATTCTGAAACAAATAATTGTAAATGATATGAACAATTTACCGTATTTAATGGTATTGTATTTAAATGTTCTTTATTCAATGTACAAAAGTTATGGAAAATATCACAACTAAAATATTTTCGGTTCAGATAGTATAGCCATCGATTGTTTTTACTTGTCTTATAAGAACATAAATAATAATTGTTGTAACTGTATACGACAAGGATGCGTCATGGTACGAATAACTCAGGGCAATCAAACCCGGCAGTCGTTGCATCAGGAATCACGCTTTGATGCACCCTCATCCTCCCCATATAACCAACTGGAAAATCGCAGTTTGTTTCGTGGAAAATTACTTTTTTTTAATTAGGAATAATATTATTTCTAAAAAACGTATTTTTCCTATACTGATAGCAAAGTAATTTTACTTAAAAAAAGGAAAAATGGAAATTCACATTATTGGGAACAAACATTTATTGTGGCTGTTTTTATTTTGACGTTTTGCGTAAGTTATAGAAATTAAGGTCATTTTACGTGGGAAAATAAAACTTTTAAAGTACACTAAACGTATAGTTTAATGAAGTGTAGTTTTTAAATTGTTATTATTAAATTATTTTTATAAATCCTTTAAATTTGAATTACCTTATTATTATCTTTCACTTATAGCTTGATTTTAGATAATAATCTAGAAATATAGGCAGTGTTATCATCCACCCATAAATTAACTATTGGGTAACATACGGATAATTTACTATTAAGTGGTTGTAAAAAAAAAATTAATTCATACTTACATCTAAAAAAATCTCATTATTAAAATGTGCAGATCGTTGTGGATATTTTTAAAGAATACCTTCAACAAATTTGGAATTCATTCGACTATTTTTCGGGATGAGAGACAGTGCTGTATATGCATTTAAAAAACATGTCAGTTTATAGAATGTCATTCTCGATTTTGAAGGGGAAGAGGTGACTTTGTTTAACATTTAATACTGTAAAGTACCTCGATGTACAATTTCCGATCTACAGAGTGTATGTACCTATTATATTATATATTATATCAGGTTAAACGTTTAAATCTCTGTCCTAAATCCATTGAAAACTATTTAAATCTTGAAAAAATAATTAATAAACAACATTTCTTGGTGTAGTTGAACTTTCCAAACCTTAAAGTTTTTACACGGAACACCGAACAAATTAGGTTCTACTTCTTTAAGTTTTCAATTTTCATAGATTGTTTTTTACAGGTAAAAGAAAAGTCAAGTACAGTATTAGAGGAAGAGATGAAGTTCTATGGTTTAAGTATTCTTTCCTCCGCGCTTTATTTATAAATCTTAACTATGATAATCGCAACTAAAATAAAACAAAAATATTAAAACCAACACTGTTTTGACTAAAAAATGCGTAACTTTTTTTCAATTGTCTATTTAGCAGTTATTTAACATACTGACTAAATACATAAAACACCGCAGTCGGCGCCAGTCGCTCTCGAGAAATACAATAAAATAAAGTTGATTGTACATACAAATAATGACAGTAGTTAGGTAGTATTTAATATTTTGTAAAGGCAATTCATTTTGAAAAAGACATCGCTCGCTGGTCTATTCACAAATTCAATTTTAAAAAAGTGTACTTTACAAAAATGTGCCCGAGAGTGTAAAGGACGTTTGCGTCTATAGTCTATACACCTGTACAAGAGTTTACCTTCAGCTAATGTAAACACTAAACACAATAATACCCACAACCCATTCTCCTTGATTATATTACTTATAACTTATAAGTATTAAAACTATATAACCAACGAGAACAATCTCAAATACTAGAAAATATATCTATTATTAAATAGGTATTTTTAACAGCGGCGGGCAAATTTATACTATAACAGAAAAAAACGGTTTCGTTAATGAAAGTTAGTTTGCGGATTAGTTCCTATTAATACTAACCAAATTGAAATACCTTATTTCTGTGTTGAAGTTATACAGTATTTTAATTAATTATTGGGAAATATTTCGTAAGCAACATATTTTAAATCTATGTAATTACCTGGAATACAGCATTATTCTTCTATTTTCGTGAGAAAATCTGAGGTCGACTGCGTTTTAGGTAGGTAGCGGTTTCGCAAAATAAAAATAGATGTAGACTGTATAACATATATTATAATTGTTGGTTTTTTTTTTATTTTACAGAATAACCCAATACATTTACTAGTAAATGATACTCACAAATTCGTACTTTACGATCCAAATTAAACTATAAATGTGTTTGTTAACTACAAAGACCAGAAGTCGCTTATCTAGACGACGAAAACAATGAATATGATTTCAATGAACGTTCAGACTTCAGTGACTGTAACACAACAGATCTTTAAATAACGGACGCTTTGCCATTTCCACCACCATCATCTTAACAGTAATAGTACCGCAACTATTCATAACAATTATATCCAGCATTCTCCTGCGTTATTTTAGTGTTGAACTTAAATTGTTATTGTTATTAATAATAAAGGTAGCTAATATTTTTAAATGTAAATTAAGAACCAAGCTCGTGTTTTAGATTAAACAAAAAAGTGTAATAACAGTTTTTTGGCGAATTAATAATTAAATTTGACACAAAATCCTAAATTTATCCATCCTTTGAAAAAACAGTCACATAAAACTCATACAAAATCATGTTTTCTTTTTTTGTTTGATTGTGTGATTCTTTTTAAATATTTATCTAATTAATAAAAATAAATAAGTACTACGAATGTCTAATATTAAGAATGACATGAAGTCCTCTTTATTTATTTATCATGCCTTCAAGAAGTATGTCACATAATATGCACATCCCTTATATGCGTGTGAAATTTTATTTTATTTTAATAAAAAAACATGTCTGTTATTCAATATATTACACATACCACATGTAAGTGATCTGATTCAGAAGGGTATAAGTAGTTAAATTGAAATTAAATGTTTTCTTTAAATAATACTGAATGTCAAATTGTCAAATGTAAACATGACTTTTTTTAAAAATCTGGGGGTTTTAAAAATAAATAAGTACAATGAAATTGTATTTTTTATAAATAAATTAGATAACTATAATAATAAACAGGATTATACGGTATACATAAATATAAATTCACATATATTGTAATTAAAAAATTAAATAAACATAATTTAAAAAAATATAAAAATTTTTCAACTAAATAATTAAAGCCCAATAATATTTTTAACAACAGCCAACAGGTATATTATATTTAATACAAGAACAAAATAATTTTTAATTTGAAAAATATATAAATGTTAACTTTTAATTGTAATTTTTTTTTCCAATGAAAATTTATTTTGAAAAAAGTCCTTTAATTTCATTTAAAAACACAGATCCAACAACCATTTTTTCACAGTTAACAAAAATAGTTGCAGATGAATCTTCAATCTTTATTGTTAATAACACTAAACAGTTAGAAGATAATGTCTGACCACTGAACCTGAAATTAAAAATGTTAAAATTCATATTTAATGTTATTATTTAATACACTGAACATAGAATAAGTACTAGCGTTATTAATCAGTCACGTAAATTTGTGCATTTGTTAAACAAAAAGAGAGGTTACAAGAATATTTGTACGAAACATGAACTATACAAATAATTTATAACAAACTCACAACAAATTTGGAATTTATATAAACTTATAATATCGGAATACCGAAAACACATATCGTCGTGTAAATGTGAAATAAAAAGCTGTAAGAGGAACTAAACAACATAAAACATAATTTTAATGTATTTAAATAGTTGTAATTATTTAAACTTTTAAATGAAAAAAAATTGCAACATAATATAAATCTAGTATAGTATAAACTAGTACAAATAAAAAGAATCGATAAAAAAAATAATTTAATTAGATATTTAAAACTAAATATAGCAAAGGCCGTGTAGTTGGGCAGAAGTGAGGATGGCGATGACAATAGTCTTTATGAATTATTAAAACCTTAATGAATTATTAAAATTACTAGTTATTCAAATGTATTACCTGAATATATTTTTATTTTCAGATAAAACTTTTGTGACATTAGCAACTTCATAAACAGATTTTGGTACATCCATATTTATATTGGCAAAAGTAACTTTAGCTACATGTTCATTCATTCCTTTCAATTTTCCTAAAAAATCATAATAAAGTAAAATTGTGAATTATTTTTTGTTAGAGAGATTTATTAGACATGTCTCTGTGAATAAGAACATGAAGTATAAAGTGCATCAATAGCCTTTTCCCTATGACCTAACTAGTGTTTATATCATAAAGTATATACATACACAAACATATTCATTTTTTAAGTAATTACATAATGAAATTTAGTAAGCCTATAAAATAAACTAATAAAACTTAATTTATAATACCTTGTTCACTTATAAAATTGTCAGCAGTTATGGAGTATGGTTGTAAAAGTTCACCAATAGGAACTCGCAAAACAATTTCACTTTTACGTTCCATTCCAGCTACATACCAAGTAACTTGCATTAAAAGTGGTTGAATTGAATCTTTAAAATCAACTCCAAGTGCACCCAAAATGACAGAACCTGGTAATAACTGCATTATTGTTGCTGAGTTATGAATACTCATATCAGGACTCTTAAAACCAAAAATAATTAATTTATATTGTAAATAACATAGCTACATAATGTTGCATAAATAATCAACAAAAATTGTTAGAGATGTGGAAAACGAATCAAAAATTTAACACTAAATCATAGCCAGAACTTTCGCTTGATAGCGACTTCTCCGACCACAAGATACCAGAGACCTTATCTTTGAGCTGCATACCTCTTAAAGTATTGCTAACAAAATAATTTATCATAAAATACAGCATATATTATACAGCTTTCTTAAAATGTTCAAAGGTTTAATCATTTTATATATATGTACAGTTTATAAAATAATACAATAAATTGGCAAAATTACCTTTTGAATTAGATGTATATTAGTCAAAGTCTCTTTTTGATCGTGATTGGTATAACTCAACTCTACATTAACCATTGTATTAGAAAATACATTAGCACTTCTAGTGAACCGTGCCAACATGCTTAACTCGTTGTGACCTTTGATTTTACTCAAAATTTCAGTGTTCAATGAAGGTACAAAACTTGGTGCAACAACCTATCAATAAATTATATAGTATTATTATTTTAGTAATTAACAATATATCATAAACAATACAGTTATCAGTAAAACATATAATAATTCTACAGTTAAATAATGTTACCTTTCCTGAACAAGAAGTAAGTGAATGATTAGATAATGATTGATTATTGACAGGGGAATGCATTCCGCCTAATGATGGTAATAAAGTTTGACTAGAAGGGACAACTAAAACATAAATAAGTTTTGTCTTGTTACACAATTATTTTTTTTAGAAAAATACAAACAATTTTTTATTCAGACTTACAATCATCTAGTGCCAACAACAAATCCACATTACTTCTATGTTCTTCAGTTTTGATCACTTTTTTGTTTAACATTTCGTCTTCACTACTGTCACTTTCCACAGATTCGCTATCAGAACTACTTTCATCAGTATCTTCAGAACTTTTTACTTTTTTATTCTTCTAAAATGTATTATTTAAATTACAATGTTATGTATAAAACAATTAATCAAACATTTTTTAAATATCTACGTTAAAAATACAAAATTATATAATTAGAAATAAATTCAGTTAGAATATTTAATAAATTGCTACTGTAAAAATTTGTTTAGATTTTAAAAGCTACAAATATTATGGATAATCATAATAAGCATTAATTTTTTTTAAATACAACGAACATTGATATGATTATTTTATACTTTATGTTAATGATATCTTGTTAGAAATATTTTTGAAAATTTAAAATATCTTTTTATTAATTATAAATAGTTTTTCAGTATTATTATTGTAGTTTAATTAAGTAGTATGCACTAACAATAAAAATATCTGTGCTTAATGAGATTTGAACTATGAAACTACAATAACATAGATTATGTAAAAATGTAAAAAGTCATAGTTAGTTACCTCTTCATCAATTTTCTCATAGCTCGAATCTGATGTCTCAGATTCACTAGATTCATCTGAGCTATCTTCAGAATCTGAATAAAATGTCTTTTTATTATTTGTAGATATTTTGTCGACATTCTGTTTTACATGGATTTCTTTTTCTTCTGGTACTGCTACACACCTTACACTTGAATCTGTTGGTTCTTCGGGAAACTGAGGTAGATCCTGATATCCAATTGCTCGACAATTAATGTAATGTGATAAGGAACCCATTTGGAATTCTTCACGATCTAAAAATAATATTAAGAATAAAAATGTTTGAAAAAATTATGTTTTTTAAATAAACTACACATTTTTAATACGTATGAAACTCATCATCATCAGCTTAACGCTGCTATCATGAGACGATAGTTTCAAGACGGAATCGCTGACCAGGACAGATAGTTAATCCGTCGCCAGATAGGGGGATGGTGTCTCCTTTTCACAATTGCTCACCCGGGAAACTGAGCGCCACTGAACGAGTGTCAAACCGACGACAGTGAACGCTAACACACTATGCCCTACTTACTTGGCCACTCCTCCTTCTCATATATTTTACGAAACTAAATATTATAAATTTGAATAGCCAACGTTGAACCTTAGCTATGTTTAGTCTTACTATAGCTGGTCCCACACGACTCGTGTATTTGGCAAATAATCGTCAATCACTATGCTTTACGAGTCATGTAGGAGTTATATATATATATATATATTCGAATGGCGTATTTGACCGGGAGGGCTATAGCTAACTTTATGCCAGTTAGGTCGCCTGAGGGTGCATGGCATTTCTACCATGCTTATCGGGGTTGATGGTGTGGGTCGCCGCTAAAAATCCGGGTGGTCACCCATCCAGGTTCAAGCAGCAACGGCCACAGCTTAACCTCAAGTGCAATGCGGCAGCTGAGGTGTCCACTGCACCACACCGCCCCGTATGTAGGAGTTATTTAATCGTAAAGTATGACAATTATTTTTACTCAGCGTTTCCTGATGGTTTTCGGTAAATGTGACACCAGTCAAAGGAATAACTAATATTCATACAAAACTTTTGCTGAGATTCCCACACGATTCGTTGTTCATGAACTACGTTCATCTATAATCCCTAGAAGAAATTTGGCGAGCATTCACAATGACGATAATTGTCAAGCACACAGGACAAGTGAGACCGGCTTAAAGAATATAACCACATATTTATATGTACGTAGAATTAGTATGATTAGGTATATTTCCAAAACCAACTTATAAGTTAAAAAAATTAGAGACCCGAGTAAAGGGGTCAAAGAGTTCACCACTTTTCAAAAAACATTATTATTTATTACTAAAAAAGGGAAAAACCACTTTAAAAAAAATGCTTTGATGTGAATTTATTGATGGTAAAAAGTATTATAAATATATAATATTATAGTATAATATAATATATTATATAAGTCACTTTATAGACAATAAACTAAAACAATTATTACTGTGTTTGTAATCATAAGAAGCCTGATAGTAATTTATCAATAAAAAAAGTTTTATTGCATATTATAGAATTTGTTTCTAGTTTAAAGTTATACTAATTTAACATCAGTCAAATGATTAGGCCTAAGAGGTATACTATCTCTTAGAGTATAGTAAGTCCTAAGGTCCTACTCCAACAAATTTAACTAAATAAAAAGTTTCCACCTCTTCTAGATCTAGTTTTTCACTGTTTATTGGCAGTAGTATAACTAAATAATAAGTAACAGAGAAAAGTTTAAATAATTTTAATGTATTTAAATTTTTTAAATGTATTGTAGTAATACATACCAACAAAATTTGATTGTAGTAATGGAGCTGGTTTTTCTGCTAGAAATATATTTTTTGCTTGTTTACTTAATTTACTGTCTCTAAATTGTTCTGGAGGAAACAGTATATTGTTTAAAAATCTTGAACGATCTCTTATATCATAATTTTGATCATACTTGGCTTGTTTTAGAACATACTGACAAAGTAATGTTGTTTGTGCTGGATTAGTTAAAAATAACTTAACAGCTAAATTCATGATTTGTAATTTAACTATATCTTCCTGCAATAGTGTTAATTATTTATCAAATTGCAAACAACTATTTTGTATACATAATTATTGCTGTATCATTATTACCTCAGAAACGAATGTTTTTGCCACCTTACGGAGCACATCCGGTGCTATTGTGGATACCAACTGTGAATATTCCCCCAATAACCATAAAATTGAAGCTCTAGCTTGAGAAACAGCAATTGTATCCATCAATCGAGCCATATGTCTTATTATATCACAATGTGCTTCTGGCTGATTTTGTAGTAACTTTTTTATAACAACAACACTTTCAGCAACCACTGCTTCTACACATATTATTAAAATAATAAAAAACTATTATTTTTATAGTCTGTAACATTAAATTAAAAAATAGAAATATTACCATCTCGACTTGATAACATAGATACTAAACCGCTAAGACATGTTTCAGTAACCTCTTTAATATTAGATGCACATCTAGAAAAAATAATACACACAAGAGTAAGAATTTTATAAATTTATCATTTGCATGCAATCATGATTTTTGATCATTTATGATAATTTTTTTGTTTTGGTAGAATTGACATTGGTTGCTAAAAATACATTTATTAAATATTTTGGGACCTAAGAAGAGGGAAGGTTAATGCCTTAATTCACTATTTCACACTAGTCATTACCAGCCTTTAACTTTTACTTAAAATATATAATTTAAAAGTAAAAGCCTTAATTTAAGTAATATATTGATTAGGTGATGACACAATTATGTTAGTACATTAGTGTTGATTTAAAATCTAAATTAAAATAGTTACAAAGTTAATTTTATAAAACATATCATAAATAAATAAAAGCAATAAACATATAAGAAAATCTGATGCCTTATTAAATTATCTTGTATAATATTATTACACTATTTAGCTCTAATAAGTCCAAACTTTTAATGTAAAATTTACCGTCCAATAGCTTGGATTGCAGCTGCAACAAACTGCTTATCTGTACTAGAAATGTATGTTTGGACTTCACGAAGAATTGTTGATATACTTGTCTCATTTGCTAAATTTGTCATGATGTCCAGTTTTAATAACTTTATGTGTGTAGGGTCATTCGATCTAACAAAAAAACTTTTCAAGTATGCCTCAAACATCCTCTATATAAAAATAAATAATAATACATTTTTTAAATTATATTTTCATAGATACAGCTGAATATTTTATTACCTTTCTGTCAATTGAAATAGAAGCAATGGAATTAAGTACTACTGATTGAACTTCTCTGTGACTTCTTAATAATCGAATTAAAGCTTTTGCAATGATGTTTACTTCTGATTTAGGTGCCAAGTGGTGATATAACTGTGAAACACTCATCACTACCTTAAAAAGAAAGTCTGTCATGGTTTCAGTAAATAAATACAATTTAAATCAGATTTATATTATGGTTTAACTATGTTTAAATGATAATATTATTTATCTAAAGCCTAATATAATTTATACTAAAATAAATAATCATCAAGCTGTTAAAGCTTTACGTAAATTTTAAAAATAATATAATTACTGCTGCATTTCGGCTTTGAAATAATGGCTTAGCAGTTCTTAATAAAAGTCTGTGATCTTGATCTAGAACAGATGATTTCACTTCATCCCCACATGCTTCTTCACAGCTAGATAGATCAGAACTATCTACATTACAGTTATCAAGATGTGTAAAATCATTAGTGTCCTGTAAATACATAATTTTCCATTTAACTATACATAAAAAAATCCCAAAACAAATTTTTTTATGACTGACGTTTTTATTAGGATTGATAAACTGAGTACGACCATATCTTGTTAACATATTAACAATAATTACTTGACCCCATTCATCAATATCAACTAATAAATTGCAAAGTTTTCTGTAAATTTTGTGGATTAGATCAATTCTTTCAGGGCACACCTAAACAAAATAGTAATATTTAATTACTTAAATATTAATAGTTATAATTATTTTACTCATAACTTTTCACAAAAACAAATAAAAGTTTAATAGATTAAATTATTTAATTTTAATAGGTAGTTTGGCTATTGGATTAGTATCAAAGATATACTAAAACAAGATTATATAGTATATAATCTAAGAAAAGGCTAAATTGCATACAGAATAATTTGTAAATAATTTTATATAAATTAATTAGAAATTTATTATTGCGATAAAAATAATAATACAATGTATTCGACTTTTTGTGGTCTACTATACATGTAATATATGATGTACACATATAATTAGAAATTGGCCTTCACTTAAGTTTGGAAGCATTTCATCTTCCTACTTCAGAGATGTGTGCGTGCTAGTTAAATGTTGTTTGCGAAATATTGGCAAAGTTAATTTGTAAATATAAGTGTAAGCATAAACCAAGTAAATATTTCTAACATACCCTATACAAATTTTAACCGATTAATAAAAATATACTTTTTTATTGTTAATTAAATTTTGAAAGACAACAATAGGAACAAATAAAGATTACATACATAATGAATAAAAGATGAAAAACACATCAATTTTATTACATGGGTTAAAAAAAAGTACATTAACAATACCTCTTCAAATGCCATGACAGTAGATCCAACTACTAAAGTTGATTTATCAGCTAACAGTTTTTCTATTATAGAAATGAGTTCTTCTTTCTGATCTTGATCCAAACTATAAATTTAAAGTATTTAAATTAAAAAATACACCATCAAAATGAAGTGTGCATCAAACAAAATAGAGTCTAGATGGGTAGTGTATCAAATAGTAAAAAAAATTGTAATTGCAATTTATTTCCAAAAAAAATTAACAAAAATTTTGTGGATTAAAATTGTTTATTTTTATGAACAAAATATATTTGAATTTGCTTTATTTGTGACACTTTACCCTCTTGATCCTTAGCTTTCATAATTTTTAAGTTTGAACAAGCATTTTGGTGAATGTACCTGTAAAGTTTTGGTATAGCATGTGCAGCAGTTTTTCGAACGTAGGGTGACATATCAGCAGCTGAATCTTTAATAGCCAACATAACAATAGGGACTATCATTACTACTCTAATACTTGACAAAACTCTTAATGCAGATGCTCTTATTAATTGATTTGGATCCTATAAATCATAGGCAAAGTAATTTATTATAATAGATTGCGTAATAGACCTTAATATTTTTTTCTTTTTCTTTTAGAATTAATAACTGTTTTACTGCTATGAAATTCAAATTGACAAGAAATTTACACATGAATTAACAATTTATCTTTTACTTAATTTCGCTTTTTTGTATAGTTTGAGTTTTAAAAATTAGTAAATCTAGTGAGGCCTCACTAGATAGTCTAGTCTACCTCTGTAGTCGTACTTGCAAAAACTGATATTTAGCAGTTTTTGCAAGTACGACTACAGATTTAAGAAAAATTGGATATGTATGATGTGAGAACCCACTAGATTTACTTTTAGTCTAATTTTCAGACCTCAAGTCACTAAACTAAGAACGTGAAATAAAGTAAAAGATAAATTGTTATTTTTGGCTGTATACCAGTTAGATATCTAAAGAATATCTTGTACATGCTTAAAAGTGATTTGGCTATTTTAAAAAGTTAATAGCCATAATTCAAAGTAAATAATGTGTACATTTTTAGGAGTTTTTCTCACTTTTAAAGGGGAAAGGGTAAACTTTTTTTCACTTTTGACTTTTTATGTACCCTTTTGGAAATAATTTCTGATCTATTGACTTGCTACATGAAGAAATCATTACAGTGGTGAAAGAGATATTATAGGTTCAAATACAAAAAGTAACAACACATTATTATAAAGCCAAGAGGCTAAAACAAATATATTTAAAAAAATATTTTCTCGTACTTGTATTATTAGATTAAAAAATAATTTATACTCAAATTTAACTAAAAACATAGGCATGTTTAGTTTGTTGATAATATTTAGAAGCTTTAGAACTGTAGATTTTTTTTTAAATAAGTGAATGCCTTTGAATGCTAATTTACACAGAGGCTATGTTAAATAAATAATTTTACTAAAGCATAAGAACCATGTATTATTATGTATATCCTATCCCCTTTAAGGAAATTAACAAAAACTAAAACACTCCTGGCTATGCAGGCGCTTACGAGAGTAATGCCTTTTGGTTTGTGCACATTACCTTTCTTATATGGGATAGGGTATAGATAAAAAAGATCTAGTATTCCTATTCTACTTAGGCTGAACCATCAGGTTATATAGCTACACAACTTGCACCTTGTGTGCATATACATGAGCCATGCATATAATACCTGGTACCTTTACACCTAACATATACAATAACAAATTAATATCCCCAAAATTTAAGTTAAAAAAAAAAATACTAAATTAATATTTATTAAATTGTTTTTAATATTACACAAATAGTATTAATAATTCTTAAATCATAGTAAAGAAATGCTTATACCTTTAATGCTCTTTGGAACGTAGATATTGACAAAAGTGCTAAATCTTGTTGCTGTTCCGCATAGCGCACTAAATATACATATACCAACTTTTTCACTTCAATATTTTTAGACACAACATTTTTTACAACAGCTGGAAATAGTTCAGAAGCATCTCTTCCTTTAGCTATCATCTGAAAATAAAAACTAAAGATAACATTTAAATGAATTTTGCTAATAAATATTGACTCATCGTCCCCAACATTCCCCGCAAGCCATGGTTCAACAATCTTATTTTACCCCGCAGTTCGACTGTACATTTCTGTCGTTTAAGATTTGGCCATTACTTCTACCTGCTCAAGCTTTCAAATTATCTCTAAACGATTCTTCTCTCTGTACTCTTTATACTGAAGAAGCCATTTGCAACGTCACCCATATTTTGTTCAACTGTCCTTTTCTCTTCCTTAAATGCTCTTCCATACTCAGTTTTCTACACACCGATTATATTCCTCCCACCTTAATTTCGATTTTATCATCCAACAATTTTCTTGTCATTAACTATGTTATCACTTATCACTTTTATCTTTGAGGCTGGATTTGTAATTTAATAATTTTTGTGTAAATATGTTGTTTTCACCTTCTTTGTGTATATGTAATAGTCGAGATAAATTGTAAATACAAAATTTCATTATAACAATAAAAAAAAACATTTATTTGAATGTATGAAAGGTTTTTTTTATTACACAAATATGAGCTGGTTCAGTGAGAAAAGAACATGACAAGATGTATCATAAAACTTTACAATCGAATAATATCAAATTTAATTTTGATTGTTAAATAGATACAATTTTATTTAGTAATCCCAAATTCTGGTAAAAATAAAATAATTAGTTTAAAAAAACAATTTGGCTTATTTGTTAATGGTTTTTTTTTTTTAATTTAGACAGCATGCAAGAAAACCAAAGAGCAAATAACACTATTATTAACACATTTTTTATCTAAAATTTTATTTATATTTCTAATTGTTTTTCTAACTACAGTTTCACATAAATGAGTTTATCTCTTTAAGTTATAATAATTTTTTAAGACATTATAACCTCCTTTTTCCCAAATGCTGAGCCCCTATACTAAGTCCAGACCCCGCTGTGTTCACTTTTTTTTTAAATATGAAACATATATAATATTTATAATCATCGTCATGTAAGCTTAGCAGATCTTGAAGACTAAACGCTGTCATCATGAGGAGGATGGCGGGCTCCTATTTAACAGACTATTTCTCGCCCGGAAAACAGAGCGCCTGTGACCTAGTGTCAAACCGGCGACAGTAAGCATCAAATGCTCCTGACGCCTTTTTCACTTGGCCCCTCATCCCTCTTAACATTCATAATAGTTATTATTTATAATTAATATATTAGGTATTTGATCTTATAAGTAATATATTACTAAACATAGAAAACACATGATATACAAATTTATTATAAGGTGTAAGTGAATGAGAATAAGGAGAATTAAAATTATTATAAGATAGTCTTGTAAAGACTGGATTGATAAATATTGGAACAATTTACTTTACTAGACACCCTTTTTTTTGTTTGTCATATTGTATTTTTTTACGCCGATTGCAAAAATCTAGTCTTAAACAGACGGACTCCTCTAGTTAAAAAGTTATAGCTACTTGACCTATGAACTTTTACACATATATTATAGGGGGGGTCAGTGGCCGTTGCACCATGCTGCTGTGGTCGGTAACACAAATCGCGATTAAAAACATAGCAATTTGCTATCAATAAACCATGATCATAATACACCAACTCAGTTGTAGCAAAAAAAAAGAACTACCACGAAGGGCAATAATTACATAGAAATGACGCTCAGGCTATGGAAATTGATTAACCGAATAGTTACCGGAAGATTGGAAAATGGCATTACTATGAGCAGTTCATAAGAAAAGGGGTAGACAATAATGCAATAACTATCGCGGAATTGCCCTTCTAATTGTTACATATAAAGTTTTTGCAAAATCTATCTTATCACGGATAAAAACAAAATTAGAGCAAATCATTGGCGATTATCAAGGAGGCTTTAGACCAGGAAGATCTACAGCGGACCAAATATTTATTCTTAGACAACTATTCCAAAACACATGGGAGTTTGACAAGGTTTGACAGAATACATGGTGGCGGGGAGAAGAGATAGTACGAGAATGTATCCTTTCTTAGAAGTGGGTTACCATGAATTTAATTGAGTTAAACAATTTAAATACCTAGGTTCGGTATTGACCGAAAAAAAATGAAACTGAAAAAAAAGTAGCAACAAGAATCCTGTCGGGAAACAAATGTTTCTTTGGACTCACAAAGATACCGGGGTCACAGTCCCTGCTGAGAGAAAAAATAAAGATACAATTTTATATTACACTATTACGCCTAATAATTACATATGGAGCAGAACATTGACATTGAGAAAAACGGAAGAAAAGAAATTGATTGTTCTGGAGAGAAAAATCCTAAGAAAGATATTTGGTCCAGTAAAAGACGAGGAAACCGCCGGATGGAGAATAAGAAAAAACAAAGAATTAGAGGAATTCTTTCAACTCCAAACATACTAAATATCATCCAATGTAGGAGATTACAGTGGGCTGGTCACGTGTGGCGTAGTCAGAACACACAATTACACATAGTATTGGCAAAGAATCCAGAAGGAAAAAGATCTCTTGGATGACCTTGTTTAAGATGGGAAGACATGGTAAAGAGGGACGTAGAATCACTGAATGGTGGTCCAGATTGAAAAACAACAGCAGCTGACAGAAAGACTTGAAGGATTGGTTGTCTGATGGGATGGTCCTAGTGGCCGTTAATACCCAAGAAGAATCATTATTGGGCTTGTTATTTATAAACCTCAATAATTAATATGCATAAATTAAATTAATAAGGATAAACATAACTATGTCTTTTACTTACTCCAATTATTCTTTTCATGGCTTCTAGCTTTGGTCCATCTTTTGCTGAATCTAACATTTGTTTTAAATCATCATGTCTAAACAAAATTAGTTATATAAATAATTTTTGCTGTTAAGAAGACCGAAGTTTATAAAATAGATTATAATATATTTATTTTTTAATGCCATCAATATGGATAACGTCATAAGAACCCCAATTTTATTTATTATATTTTAATATTGAAGGGAAGTAATGTGCATAACAGTTTCTCCTCGTAAACTTCTCTGATTCAACAAAAACTTAAAAAAAAAATAATAACTAAAAATATATGTCAGATAATACTTAACCCTTTAAAGAGTGAATTAAGATGCACAAATGCTACTCAAGAGCAGATTAGGAATTGGAATGGAAAATTAAAAAGAAAAAAAAAGATTTTAAATTTTGGAGCAATGACGTATATAAATATCTAATTTTTAACATTTTTTAAATTATAGCTAACAGAATGAAGCACATAATTCACCCTGGGTTTTATAACATAGGTTTATTAGATAGCAACTTATAAAAAAAATGAAAACTAAAACACATTGGCAGTAAAAATGTTTACATACATCGACAATATGGTGTTCAAAAATATTGCAATTGAATAAATTCAGTCGTAAGTTAACATAAATCAAAATAAAAAAAAAATTTTGATTTTAGGTATTTTTATTAACTGTTGCATCAACTGAGGCGGTGATCTAGGCCGAATATCTAAGCTAACACATATTGATGTACAGTTGTTACTTAAGCTAATTCGGCACATTAGCCTTAAAATAGATATAAAAAGTTTATACCTTTTTATAAAATTATATAAATTGTGTTTATTAATAAAATAATACTAACTTTTTATAATCGGTTACAAAAAACGATGATAATCCACCAGAAGCTGGGTCACTTGAATAATCTCCATCTCCAGAAGTCGTAGAAGCAGATAACCCATTTTTATCATAAGTTCCATTAGTGCCACTCGACATATTACTATAATTCTGTGGACCAATTAAGAACATGGAAAAAAACTACAAGATAAATTATTCAAGTTAAATTCCTTAAAATAAATTATATAACCAATACTTACAGTTCCCGAAGAATAGTTCATACAATTTAAGAAGGATAAACTTTAATTTAATTACTAAAAGTATGATACCGATTCACAAGCTTAACGGGATTAGCTAATTAAACTACAAAATATAAATTACAAAAGCAAATGGTTTAAAATACTTTCAATAATTAAATTATTGAAATTGGAGAAATCAATTTTGTTATTTCATTTTCATAGTTGATATTAATCTTGTTATCTTGTCAGCTATCACCATATTATACATGGCAGATACACAGAATAACCAGAAGAGACACTTTTCTAGAATTACACGGAACTTTATGGGGGAAAGATATTTTGTTACACCTGTGGGAGAATCAGGGTAGGCAGTAAAAGATAATTACCATTTTTCTCTTATTTCAGGCGACACTGTTCATTTCCAAACCGGAAAATGTGTGAAATCAGTTTCGGTAGGAATGAATAATTTGTATAATAAATAATAATGGTTGATTTTTGGCTATACTGATGCTCAGTGGCGTACCCGAGGGGGGAGAGATTGTAACAACGCTCCCCCCCGAAATTTGTTTCTAAATTTAAAAATAATATTTTAAATATCAAATGTTTACAATATATAAAATAAAAAAATTACAAATAATAACTGAACTTTGAGGTTGACTATTATTTTTATCGAATGAAATCATTTTTCGGTAATAAAAACTTCTTCAAATATTTTTAACGCTTCCTGTATCCACTGCGACTAGAGAACTCATTTTCTACGCTCCGTCAATTAAAAAATTCTTGTGAGCAGAATCGTTTGAATGGGTTAGCCTCACTTAATATACATCGTGAAATTAACATAAATATCAATGATGTCGTAAATAAACTTGCAAAATCTTCAAAAAGAGAAATGAACATAAATTTATAATTCAAAAATGTACTTTAAAATATTTTAACTTTTATATTTTTTAACAATTGTAATGTATAAAAGTAATACAAAAAATTTATATGTGTGTACAAATTACAATAAAAATCGTTTAATATTAAAAACAATTTAATTTGTTATATTTTTTTAACTCCCCCCCCCCCGAAAAAAAAATCTGGATACACAATGCTGATGCTCACAACAATTTTACCGATTTCGAGTTCTTATCGACAGTTTCTTCTGGTTACAGACCAATCACTATATATTATTATTAGCTCCACAGAAATCAGAATAATTCTGTGCTACCTCTACACTCTCGCCTTGCAAGGTTATACGAGACTGAAGCGAGGCACCAGCCACTTAGAGTACTTACCATCTATATTTTCGCAGCGCCTCGCTATTAATGCTAGCTCTACAGAGTGTAGTCGCTTCGCCATGTGTTCTTTGACTTGCGCTAAAAAACCGACATCGGATAGGGAGCAACCGGGAGGCAAGAGCATCGACCACACTCTCACGCTTGGGTTGCCTCGGCGAGAGTGTAGAGCTAGCAATATAATAATAGTCCTTCTTGGTTCCTTACCTAATCTTGGCTAATTTTTTATAATATACTATAGTATCTTACTAAAATATATCTATACTAGGATATCAACGTAAAAACACAAGAGATAATATTATACCATGCTTATTCTATATGCTATATACAATACAAAAATTAGTAACAAATAGCGAATAATTCATACTACAGACACCTATAATAATGTTTTTAACAATATATTTACTAAAAGTCAACCTGTGTTATATTATATATACATAATAAAATGCTAATATTATTTAAAAATTGTATCTTAATATTTAATCTAGATTTTAAAAATTGTTATTAAATATTGGGGAAATTTATGAAATATTGATATTTAAAAAAGTATCATTTAAATAACTTTAATCTGTACTTTTTGGTCTATAAAGGCCAATTTTACTTTTTGTAATTTTAAACAAATAAATTTTCAAGTTTTCATTTTCCATAAGGCCAAGTAAAAATTGTTTACGTAACTATGGCTGACTTCTTCTATTTAGTTATTGATTATAATATTATTATTGTAAATTATAATATAAAGTAAACATTTAGACATCATAAAAATGATTGAATAACTTCTGAACAGATTAAAAACCTGATATTTTGTTCAAACAACAATTAATTAAACTCCATTTGTATAATTGTGGTAAGGTTCTGTACAAACAAGTTTGTTCTTTGGATGTCAGAACTTAAGTTCTTTTATAGCTTGAGGGAGATCTGGAAGCTTTATGTCTTTTATCTGTTGAGGTATATTCATATTTTTCATAGCTGAAACAGCTCTAGATGGGGCTCCAGCAATACCAGCCTTAATAAATAAATAAACGTATTACATAGTAACCACTTTGAATATACTTAAAAAAAGAATATTAAATTATTCACTTCTTGTTTTTCCAATTTGTTTTGTTCTTCTATCCGAGAAAGAATTTCTGTCATGTTGGTTTCTAAAACCATACCACCCATAACTAATTCATTTAATATATAGTGAATCTAAAAACAACAATTTGAACAATTAGCAACTATAAAATAATAATAATATTTTATTAAGAGAATAAGAGGTATTGTATAGTTCTGTAGTCAGCTGCAGTTGTTATTCGAACTTCAATTAAGCTGAGTTCAGTGTCTTTAAATCCCAGGTGCATAGGGCCTACGAATGGAAGCATACAAAATGGTTCCATACATGAAATTTAAAATGATCTGTACAAATCGTTCTCCGTACACAAATAACATGTATATATTGTTAATATTATTTCTATGAAATACAGGATATAATAGAATAAAACTTAATTATTCCAATATATAATTTACTGTAAAATATAAGATATTTATACTTTGACTGCTTATTTTATATTTTAAGCACCATGAAATAATGTAGGCAAATAAATATTTACAATATTTACCTTATCAACATGGAAAATGAGATCTAGCTCACAAACATTTTCAAAACATTTATCTAGTGTTTCAACAAAGACCTGAATTAAATCAAGAATTCCAAGTTCTGATTCTGAAGAATCCACACAAAAAACAAAATATAATGTAGCATAATGACGGTAAATCAATTTGTAGTCTGATCCTCCAATAAGGCTATAATTAAAAAAAAAATTTTTAATTCATGTATACTAAAATATTAGTATAGAAAGCAATTGAACAAAAATATAATCTGCAGAATAGTACAGGCCAAAAGAGCCTTCCAAGATAAAAACCACAATCCAACTAGTAATAGCATTAGCCTGGTAAAAAGGATGAACTTCCTAAAAGTTACAAATGAGCACTCTTTGTGCTCCTTTGTAAAGTGGCACTCTTTGAATGCAAAACCTGGACAATCAACTCAATGAAAAAAAAAATTCTGAAAGCCTTTGAGATATGGTGCTTCAGGAAAATACCTAAGATACCTTGGATTGAGAGGATGACAAATGAAGAGATACTAGATAAGATAAAAGAAAAACGACAGTTATAGAAAATTATTTAATCCAGAAGAGATATGATAGGGCACATATTAAGACATGAAGCTTACTAAAGATATTAATTGAAGATGTTGAAGGACATATTTGAAGAAAAAGACTAAGGTAAGAATACATGACCCAAAAAATGAAGGATATGAATAAAAGAAAATACAAGAACCTGAAGGAATTAAGTTACAATAGTGAAGCATGGAGAGCAGCAACAAACTAATCGAAGAATAAATAACTAAAAAAAGAGAGCTTCAGGTATTTTACGGCAACAACGAAATATTGTACTTTAAATTTACATAAAAATATTTGTTGTTTAAACTAAACAAGGGTTGACATTGTCTCATTCTACTAACATATATTTTGTACTATGATGAAACCTAGCATTAATATTTTAGTTATAAAATTACCTTCCGCCTTCAAGAAAGTTACAAACATTATCATCTCTTTTTGATACTAGTTGAAATGTTTCCTTGATAATTTGCTGTTGCATATCTTCATTCTGCCAATTATTAAAATCATACTTTTACTTACAATAATATGAAACACAGATCCATACTTACAAAATATTGATAGAACTTAGAAAGCCTAGGCTTTCCATAGTTATTGAACACTAATATTGCTTTGATCATATTTAGGTTTTATTCTAAAAATAGTAACACATATTTTATTGTAATTAATGAAATAGTCCGTAAATCAAATTTTATCACACACAAATTATGATATGTAATAACATTTTAAATTTCGAATACCAATAAATAATAGATACATCTAGTTTTCAAAATGCTTCAAAATTCAAACACACCACAAAATATTTGCACTTCATAGAAAAACTTTAATTAAACGTCAAATTTCTCAGTTTACGAAAAAAATAACTTATAATAGTTATAGTACCTATCCAACGATTGAAATAATTGATGGTTGATATCACGAATCTATGATACAACTAACAAGGTATTAGCTTATCATATAAATACGAGTTTTGGTCCCAGTCGCGTTGTTGGTCACAGCTGTTTTTGTTATCATAAAATAGCGGTGACCAGTTCGTTATTGTCACAGATATATATTATTTTGTAATATATACATATCTATCGTTATTATCATGATAACTGAATCATTTTTATTGGAATTCATTTATTTATTTTATACATTTCAATAACTTAAATAAAAAACTAAAAATTTGTATTTTTAAATACCAAATTCGAAAAGAATTCGACAACGTACTTAAATATAATGTTAATTAGTTATTAGGTATGTCTGAACTCTGAGCGTGAACAGATCTGCATCTAAATAGGTGACTAGGTGTTGTAAAATATAAAAAAATCACAGTGTATAATAAAAATACAAATATTAATAGCCTCTATTATGGACAACTAATTAGGGTTAGAACTAACTGAAATAATCTTTATTTCTTTCTTTTGGGTTAATCGGCCGCTAGGACCATTCCGTCTCACAACCAATTCTCCAGCCATCTCTATTCATTGCCAAATCTTTCCAGTTTGCTCCGCCTCCTAAGTCTTCTACATCCCTCTTAACTATATCTTCCCATCTCAATTTTGGTCTTCCAACACCATTCTTAGTAGAGAGTTCTGGCTCCGCATTGCATGTCCTGCCCATCGTAACCTTCTTTTCTTGATCGTCTCTGCTATGTTATTTTCATTAAAAATTTCTTGTAGCTCTATATTTTTCCTTCTTCTCCACTCTCCTGTGATGTCACCTTTTATTGGACCGAAGATCTTCCGTAATATTTTCCTTTATAGTATTAAGAACTTATTCTCATCTGATTTCCTTAGTGCCCAGGTTTCCGATCCGTACAATATCACTGGTCGTATTAGACTGGTATACAAACGTCTCTTTATCTCTCTTGATACTGATCTAGAACTTAAATGTTTCACCAAACCATAATAAGTCCTGTTTCCCGCTTGGATTCTCGCGGCTACTTCTTTGGTGATATCATTTCTTTCACTCACAATTGAGCCAAGATATTTGAAAGAATTAACTCTCTTAAATTTAAAATGATCTACTTCCAAAACGTGATCCATCCAATTTTGTCTACCTATAATCATATATTCAGTTTTTTGTTCATTTGTAGTCCTACTTTCTGTGCTGCGTCATTAAGTCTTTCACAGAGCCGTTTAACTCCATCTTGAGATTCGTCCATCAGTACTATATCATCGGCATATGCCAATAATGGAATAGCCGAGTTCCGGAGTTTTATTCCTTCGTGGGGTTCAATTTTCATCTCTCTTATTACTTTTTCCAAAACCAGGTTGAAGAGAATAGGTGAGATGGAATCACTCTGTCTAAGGCCGGATTTTACTGTAACTGTATCCGACTTCATATTTCCGACTTTTATTTTGACCACGGTTTCCATGATGCTGATTGAGACTAAATTGACCAGCTTCTGGGGGAAATCGAACTCTTTCAAAATATTTATGAGACTTTCCCTATCAATACTGTCGTATGCTTTTTTGAAGTCAACAAATAACGTATGTATCTCCTTATCGAATTCCCATGTTTTTTGGTATAATTGTCTAATAATAAATATTTGGTCCGTCGTTGACTTCCCCGGTCTAACACCACCTTGATACTCACCAATTGTCTGTTCTGCTTTTTCCTTTATTCTTGTTAGAATACAATTTGAGAACACTTTGTACGCCACATTCAATAGGGCAATTCCCCTATAATTATTGCGGTCTTGTTTATCTCCTTTTTTGTGTATTGGGCAGATTAGGGACGTTTTCCAATCTTCTGGAAATTCTTCCGTTACCCATACTTTTTTTATCACTTGCCAGATCCATTGTGTCAAGTCCTCCCCTCCTTTTTTAAGCAATTCAGCCTGGAAACCATCTTCGCCTGGAGACTTATTGTTTTTCAGATTATTTATTTGTAAGTCTATTTCTTCTAGAGTTGGCTCTAGGCAACTGAAATAATAGCATATTAAAATAATATAATAATAATTGTATTCCTGTTATAAGCTCTAATCACATCAGTTAATAGCCGTTAGTTTTTTTCAGAGTCGCAACCAGGGTTTTAAACCCTCTATATACTTGCATATTTTTATTTTGCAAGAACAAATTATCCATTATTACACCATGTTGAAAAAAATTAAAATTCGATATTTAATAAACAAATTTTAATATAAAATTTCGTTATCAGGTATTATCCTATTACTATTTTTCTATGGGATACCTAACAAATCTCTTTTTAACAAAATCGACGCTCGGGCCAGAGGCCTCTCTCACTACCATCAGACCATTTTTTACAGGTCTATGCCCTATAGGTCAATCACAGAATAGACTAAGTGATTTAGCCGGGATAATAAAATAATGGATATGACAAATAATAGATAAAACCAGATGGTTGTTGGGTAGGAGCAGGGGCGGGTTTTATCACTCACCAAGTGGGGGGGGGGGGGTTCTTGAATTGAGGTTCAAGAATTTACCTACCTAGCTGTATTTTAAATCCAAAACCCAACAATAAAAAAATAGCTTAAAACCTAAATATTCAAATATCCATAAATATTAAATAACCATATTCTTCAATGACGATATTTTATAATAATTATTTATATATCATAATACTTGCCTTAAAAAAAAATAGCTTAGTCCCAAGAGGGGGGGGGCTACTTCCCCCTTAGCCACCCCCTTAAACCCGCCACTGGGATTTAATCTCGGGTCTGGACATACCTGGACCACTGAACTCAATATATGTATGTAAACTACACCAAAATGATCCTTTTTTTATAAGCTGTTGTGTAAACTGCGGAAAAACATTTTTAAACATTATACAAACTGCGACAAAAATGATAAGATACATTCTACAAACAGCAACATTTTATTTTATTTACCTACTATATAATATACTATACTTATATACAGTAATACATACCGATACGATAACATATGTATACTCGTATAGGTACAGAAATCATAATATCACCGCCCCGGTAGAACAATGACACAACTGCAATAATTGAAATTTTACAGGAGAACCAAAAAACCAAATTATTTTTTGAGGACAGAAGCCGCGCTTGGCCGTCTTATATCCAATGTTGGAGGACCCAAACCAGCAAAACGTTCCCTATTCACGTCAGGGCGCTAGTGTTCTAACGCAACAGGGACACCAACCAGAGCCCACAGCGTACCACAGCTTTAAGGTGTCAAGTGCCTATAGGACGGTTTCTGCCGCAACCTTAGTCGTGGTGTCTGGGATATCGCACATTCACTTACTTGTCCGACAGCGAGGTAGAGCACTGGACCTTGTGGCGGAAGGCCTAACGAGGGCGGAGGCCAAAGTGAGAGCTACATAGGCGACGCTACAGCAATGACAGGCGGAGTGGGCCGTGGAAACATGGAGTCCCTGGACTCGTCGGATACTGCCTGATGAAAAGAGATGGGCATCGAGGACACGCGGAGTAATAAACTACCATCTCACGCAGTTTCTGACGGGGCATGGGCGTTTCAACGTCTACGGTCTACTTATACAAGTTTAAGCGCCTAGATAACCCGCAGTGTGTCTACTGCCAGCATCCCTGGGACGACGACGAACACACATTTTTCGTGTGTGATCGGTGGCGGCAACTCAGGTGGTCACTGGAGACAGAGTTACCAAACTCTATCTCCAGTGACCACCTGAGTCGCCCAATCTATACCAATATATTGGGCGACAGACAGCGTAGAAGACCATATGCTGAGATACTCGGACCAATGGAGGGCCATAGCCGACTATATCAATGCAGTACTCTCAACTCTCAAGGATCGAGGAGGACGAGAGACAGGGACAAAGGGGAGCGGCGGGTGCTGTGCAACCGGCTCCTAAAGACTCGATCGATGATCGGTGTGAAGCCACGAGTGCTGTCCCATTGACACGGAATATTTAATATTTATATAAACGTAAATGTTCAAGAAAATTTACATATTACAACTAGAATTAAGTAAAACTGTGAGCCCGCCTCGCGAGGAGGAAAACGGGATTTTTTGTAATTAGCGATTACTTGGAAAAAAGAAACCCCAGATAATGCACAAATATAAAAATAATATAATAAAAATCCATTTCTAGACAAGAATTATGATGTTTATAAGTTATACCAACTTCTATGACTACAAAACGAATTCAAGTTCATTGTACCCCATTAAATTCATTCATCGTTGATGAATTTTCTGTTTTGTGTACTTAATAATTTGAACATTTTTTGTAACTTGTGGTTTTATTATTTTAACATGAATCTTAAGACCAGCGAAATTTGGTCTCATTTTACTGTCATAGATAATAATACATTTTTAAAATATGATAATTGCAATAAAAATATTCTTTTAAAACAAGTGTTGACAAATACAAACATTTTTATTTATTTATTATATCATAGTTGTATACTTTTAGGTACTATATTATATACACTGTAGGTACTAAATAATTAGTTATAAATAGTAGTTCAACTTTTATTTAAAATTAAATTAATAATTCTTCTTGTTAGAATGTAGTCATCATTTGCAAGGTTTTCAACGATATCAAAGTGGTCAACTCCGTTAATACATTCTTCTATAACCTCTAAGCCATGAAATGTAAGAAACTAAAAGATTACAATTAATAAGTAATTTTTTAGTAAATTTTGTCAAACTAATTGAAAAACTAAGTAAGTCTTAGTTTAGCTGTTTGGTCGTGTTGATGGGACATCAGAGAGTAGTTTTATATTAATACAAGGATCTGGATAGTGATTTTTATTGGTATGATGTATAATAATTTTAAAGTGATTTTATTACTTTTGGTTGTAGGTAACCAATAACTCCCAAAGTCCAAAGACCTCTGACCTTATTATGCTTCGTCTCTACTAAATCTTATATAATTAAAAAAGTCGAAAGTATTTATTTATTAATACTTATCAAAAACTATCAGCTTATGAAAATGTCATGCGTACATTTTATTTGACTTAAAAAAAATTTAGTTAAAATGTATATGGTCGATGACTAGAAAAGTTTTTAATAATTGCTAATTGTATGACAGTCAAAGAATTGTTAAAACATTTTTTTGTAATCACAATATCATTTGTTGTTTAAAACAAGTAGGAAATTTACAAATAAACGGAAACTTTCAGTTGGAGCGCGATTACTAACCCGTAATTAAATAAATACCTCCCCAAATATTCCCCCCTATTTATAAATAATTAAATAATAGTAGTAGTGATAAAATATATTACTACTACTAGGAACCACTTTAATGTGTAATAATACCCAATTTTTTTCACAAAGCAACTCCAGAAAGCATATTAAAAAACGTCTGTGGTTATTTTATATTTATTTTCTTCTAAGCCTATTTTATATTAATATTTTAGTTATTTCCCCCTATAAACAGGGCATTAGCCTTATGTAATAATATCAATATTATAGATATTTCACACAACTAATAATAATTAATATCAATTTTAAGGTGCTAATTGATTAGGAACTTGGGCGTTTGCAGCAGTTGGCTGGTCAATGTATGAAACTGTTTTGTTAATTAATAATTATGTTATTATCCACTTCGAGGGTTACAAGTCTTCAGGAATTTATATAATTATATTTCATAGAATCGCTTCCAAACAAACGCTTAAATGCAAAACTGCAGATGGTAAAAACTATTGATCATAAATTAAAATTATTTTTTAGACGATAATTATCTATTGTTATTTGACTGTTTTAATTATTTTCTATAAAAAGTTTGACTACAGATTTTTGAAGGAAAAAAAATGGTAACGTTTGTCATTTGCATAATTTATTTTAAAAACATGTTTTTTTTTTAAATTTTTTAGTTAAAATTATTAAAAACACATTCAAGTTATAATTTACTCTCCCATTAATTAACTTAAATTAAACTGGAGGGCCCACTCATTACGCATAAGACATTATGCTAAGAACAGGTTATTGTAGATTTTTTTAGCTTCGATGGGGGGATATTGTTTTTGTCAAGATGTGTTATTTTTTTTTATATTATTTTTAGTGCTCCAGCTATTATACTTTAAAAACGAATAACTTATTATTCTAACTTGAGCAAATTTAGTTGATTGTTGTTTAAATGCTGGAGAATCGTTTTCTGCAGATACTAAAAAACATTTTCCACACCATGAAATATTAGTCAAATGTTTTTTTAAAAAACACACAGGGCTCAATTCTAAACAAGTTAACCTGAAAAAAATACGAAATTAATATTATATTAATTATTAATATAGACATTTACAGAAGTGAATTACGATTTTTTTGAGCGGAAAAAATACTATAGACTATAGATAATTCCAGAAAAAAAAAATAGTTCTGCGCTAGTTTGGGGGTTCATAGTCTATAATTACAAACTTAGTTATAATTTAGTAAATTTTAATCGGCATTTTTTTATACTCAGGGCAGGTGTTTTTGTTTTAGTTCCTAGCAGCGAAAGAGTTAATCATAAAAAAAATGGACTTACTCGTTTAAATGTAATGTGTTGTTAATTGTAGTCTTCAATAATGGAGCTAGATCATAAATACCACTGATGAGAATAAATCCTTTAACCTCTGAACTAAATTCTTGTATTGTTGGAAGTATCATACATGCTGCTAAATGAGCACCAGCTGAATGACCCCCTAGCCAAATGTTACTGTTAAAAAAAATGTTTTAATTATAATAGTCAGTAAACAAATAAATTGTTTGTGTAAAATTAGTTGTTTATTAAAATAAAACCTACTTATACTCCAAATTATTCACTAAGTATGAAAGAAGTTGGTGTATTTCATCAACAATCATATTTAAAGTAACTAAAAATATTAATATCATTACAAATATTATTATAGGTAATATTACAAAATATGGTACTGTCTATCAGCTTAATAAGAATAAATGATGGCAAGATCCATAAATGTTTAATGAATCAATAGAAGGAACCACTGCCTTTAATTTAGTATAATTTATATTATTTAGTGGTCCATTCAATTTTAATGAACCATAAAGTTTATTAACTTTTTGTGCAACCTGCCATAAAAAAAGTTAGAAATACATATATACTTTACATAATAGCACATAGGTGTAGGCATGGTAAAAGAAACTGTGTTATGATTTTTGAGCCATAATTAATCCTTAATTAGTATGCCCTTTACCACAGCCCGTTTTTTTTGTATCATTAAGTAATTAAATAACTGTTTATATTGTTTTTAGTTAAAAAGATATTGGAATGAATTAATTATACGAGATAATTGTCATCCTGCAAAATCAACAATTGTAGTTTGGATACAACTCCCATTGTGGATTTGTAAGTCAATAGTCGTAATCTGACATTAATGCTACTTCCAAGCAATGATAGTAACATTATTATTAACAACAGTTTTTAAAAACTCGTGATTTATTAGTTTATTTTTTACAGCTCTTATTAGATTTACTGAGTTAACTGAAAGTGGTATTTTATGGTTTACAACAGATATTGATCCAACTATGTGTTTACCTTTGATTTTGTGTCTTTCTAATCTCTTAATTATTCAGGTAATGTTGATACGTTTCTTTTTTACTAAATTATAAAAATATCTTATACGCATATCAAATTATTTGTTCATACATTAAAACACATGCTCGAAATAAAGAACTCACATGAAAACAGGCAATTGTTACCAATATATTTCGAAGCATTACTCTCTTTATATTACCTATTTCATATTTCTTACCATCCGTAAATACTATTATATATTATAGTTCTTGTTTACGATTTATTACACTCAAATTGATAATTCTGTAAATGTTTAAAGTGTCAGCTTATATTGGATTACATCAAGTATTTATGGACTATTTCAAAACAAATAAATAAATTATTGTATCTAAGTATAACATATTAATTAAAAAATATAAATAGTATATATATATATATATATATATATATATATATAATATATATAATGTATATTTTATTAGTAACTAAATATTTTATTTTTATATATAATTTCAAAAGTTGAGACCGCTCTAAAAAATACCATAAAAGATATTATATTATACATTTTTTGTACATTATAGGATTCAATAATTATATAATTATTATTATGTTTCAACATTTTAACCATTCAGCTAGAAAATTAGTAGTTGCTCTGTATGTCTAATACATTGTATTTTATGTATTCAATTATTATACCGAATTAGAGTTCAGCATATACAGAAATAGTAAATACTAATATTTACAATAAAGCAGAATAAAAATCAACACTGGCCAAGGGAGATGCTAAGCAGCCTGGCACCCCTTTCGAAATCCACCTAGGCCTATGCCCTAATCTAGATAATTTACCTAATACAATTCATAAGTAAAGAATTAGTACAAATTAAGTAATACAATAATGAATACCATTCGGTGCGAGGTCATAGCCAGTAACAATAACTCTGATACCAGCATTTATTAATGGTTCCACACAATAAGCAGATATATCTTTGTTAAGTTCTTGCCAATATCCTCCATGAATATAAACAAAGGTATTACAATGTAAAAGGTTACTCTCATAAATATCTAGAAGCTGAAGATCGCCAGGTCCATATTTGATATCAGATCTTTTACAAAAATTCGATTTTTTTACTCTTTCACTAACTAAAAAAAGTATACAATTAATTAATCAGTGGTGTTAATTATTAGACGTATTAAGGGCATAAATTACCCGCCTCCTGTTGGTATATATAACGTGTATGGTTTCTATGACTGTGGTGGGTGAGGGATAAAATGTTGGGGATGTATTATGTGATAAATGGTTTGGCCTGGTTGATTGATTTAGCCGAAAATATGATATAACATATTATTGTTAAACACCTTCCCCCTAAAAAATCCTAAAATACGCCACTTCATGAAGAACCATCACTGGGTGATGGTTCTTCATTCTCTCCACTCAAGCTAATTCATGTTATTTTGAATGGCTGCCCGTTATGCTGACATAATTTTATCATCGAATATTTGATGAAGAAAAGGAATATGTGCAATAACCTTTTATATACTATATTTCAATCATGGCTGACGGCTGTATTTCAATATTACCCTGTGCCCATGCCCCATTATTTAAACGTAAAACTTTGAATAGATTTCAGCACTACTTAGTATTGAGATACAGCTATGAAATGTATTTTTTCAGCATATGAAACCGACAAATTATGTGAAATAAAAAATTCGAGACAGTCTTAAATAACAGCCGCCCTAATAATATATATATATATATATATATATATATATAATAAGATATGGACTGCGCCTCCCACACACCCCGCCTATGCTGCCGCGTTATGAACAACGTTAGAAAGAGATAGATGGTTGTTAGGTTGACCATGGAATAAAAATTGAAAAGACATGGAATAATAATAATTTAAATATATATATGACAATAGACCAAATGGAAATATATAATAACTAAATGTTATTTAATTATTATTTATTATTGTGTTATGCGAAGTTGTAAAACATTTAAGGATATGTATTTCATTATTTTGTCGGGTATCCAATGCTTTCGTATGATGTATTGTTTTAAATAGATATGTATATAGTATATCGTTAATAAATACTTAAAAACCATTACAATTTCATTCAAATTTTATCAATGAACATTCTGTTTTACTTTTTATAAAACGTGTAAGTATGTTTTGAAAAATAGTTTTTCTTTACAAACTCAATAGACAATTTATTGTATCATAGATCTGCATCTAAGTTTAAACAAATTCACTAGGTATTGTAAAATCACTACTTATTTGTTTCTTTTTCAAGTTACGACCAATATATAATAAATATGAAAAAAAATCACAAAGTTTAATAATAATGGGTAATAATAATAATAAAAAAATCGCAAAGTTTAATAATTATACAAAAAATAATGATAAATAATGATAGGTAATAATAATAAAAATATATAAAAAAAGGAACAATACATTTTACTGGTTTTGAAAGTGAATAGTTTTTGTTAAGTGAGATCTAATGCGATTTTTTGGCTGACTTTCACTTAACGTATAATAATGGACCCGGACTCTAAAATAACTTTGAAATATTAAATGGATGAGTTGTAGTAGATGGTTATTTATTGGGTCTTGATTAAAAATATGTGTATTTAGGGATACGAAAATGTTGTTAAAATTAATTTGCGAGGTGGCTTTTATAATTAAAAAATTTATTAAATTATTTGGTATTGTCGAAAGTTCATTTTTGTACATTTTAAAAATTTTTTCACCAACATTATAGGTCTATGTGCTAGACACTTGCTAAAAAGACCGAATGAAAGTGGCAACACTGTACATTTCAAATTAAATGTTAAAGTGCTTATAATTGGGACCTAAAACGAAATCTCATCAATCAAATATAACTGTGAATGAGATCTCTTAAAAATCTCACAATCAATTTTTTCAAAAAATTGAGATTTAGAATTACATCTAATGGCTTATGGCTATTAAGAGTAACAAAGTAAAAAAAAACGTGGTGGTTAACGTGTTAATAAACAAAAACTTGCAAATTATAGAACATGATTTTAACCGGTTGTTGTTTTAATAAGCTTATACGTACCTAACCGGATAGTGTCTATGTGATTATTAACTACGACTGTTGGTTCCATTCGTTTACACCATTTGCTAGGCATATAAAGTAATTCGTTTTCATACTTCTATGAAAACAATTTAAACATTTACATTATAATGTATTTATAATAGATAGAAATATATATTATTGATCTGTAACTACACATTTCACATAGGTACTTACTTTTACATTCATTCTTGTTCACTATAACAATAGACAACAAAAATTGTTTTAATTTATCTAATAAAAAAATAGTTAAGTACAACCTATCTAATCGATTTTGTTTACTATTTGTAAATCACTTGATTTACCACAACTCCCTTATATAAGTAAGCCCTACATATGCGACACATTATACCAATAATAAATATTATATTTCTGTAATCCTAAACCATATCAAAGAAAACCTAAAATGTGAAATTGTGCAATCATAAATCATATATTACGTAATTCAAATTAATGTTTTTTTTAAATACAGCCGTATTGTGTAACCATTAAAATTTTAGATCAATTTGGTATTTGTAATGTATATTTTGTATTGACATTGTAATTTATATACATTTATGAAAATAATCTGTCCAATTATTAAAAGATATTTAATATCAATTGCGGGTCTACATAACAAAAACAAAAAATTAATAACTTATAACACATTATTGTAATCACCTTCTCTAAGTTGGTTTTTAAATAATTTTTTTTTTTTTATAAAAACAGCTACTTACGTTATGTTTAAATGCTCCACAGTCCACAATTTTGACGAGATCAATCAAGGCAAAACACCCGTGGGTCGTGTGCAAGAGAAAATGGCTAGCATTACATTTTAAGAATTAAGATTTATCTATATCCATTGGCAAAAATTATTCATACAATTTAATACAAGTGTATGTTTTTTAACTCTTGTTTTGCTAAAAAAGTAAAAATGTAAATCTATTTACTAGAGGTTTGAAAATAAATAAATTGTCATTCCAAATAATATTATTTTATGTGTTAACTCTAAAATCTATTTTTTTTTTAACATTTTAATTGGAATAGGGTACACATACTTTGACTTAAACATAAATACATTTACACTAGTGATGGGAAATATTCAAATAGTTAGGATTCGAATCTCAATAAGTACTCGAATCCTTCGAATATTCAAATAGAAATAATAATTAATTTACAATTTTTTTTTTCAACTATTCGAATATTCGAATAATTATTGGAATATTTGAATATTCGAATCTTTAAAAATTAGGTATTCGAATCCAAATTACAACACTAATTTACACGTTATACATCTAACAAAGATTGGGTATAGACTATGGACTCTAAATGAAGAATTGGATTCAGATATAGCTATGAACATTACGGTATTGGATTAAAATTTGGTTACATTTTATATCCTTTCTACTAATACATTAAAAAAAAAAAATTAATTTATATATTTTGTACAGTTACTTGCTTCAAATGAATAGTTAAGATTTTTAAAGATGTGTAATAAACTTTGGGGTCGCCTAACAATTAATAACACATTTTTTAAATAAAAAAGTAGGTATATTTTGTTAAATAAAAATGTAATAAAACAGTTACTGATTATTTAAAAATAATAGCTTTATAAAATGGTATTATGCCCATGTACAACACAAAAATCAAAATGTACATTTTAAATAGCATATCTGATATCTCTGATGCAGAATAATTTGAGTATTACAAGTTCTTTTTAGGTACCTATTTTAAAAAAACATTTTTTTTTGGGAACTACATACATTTTTATTTAAAGATACTTAACTGTTATGTACAAATCACAAATGTAGAATAACTAACATATTAAACATAATTTTCTGTAAATTTATTGAGATAAAATCTTAACCCTTCAATGCTTTCATCTCTGCATGATTTTCCATTCTTTTCAGTGTTCAACAAGTATTCTTTGGCTAGGATAACAGGTAGTCCAATTGATGTAGATAATTCTTGTGCACTTAATGAACCATTTTTTTTAATAGCTTCTACAGTTTTTTCTAATACAATATTTTCATTACAAGATGATGACTGTAAAGCTAAAACACCACTGTCAAATTGTTTTAATTTTACTGGAAGTGTTTTATCATTGTTCATTAAAGAACACGCTGCCATTAAATCTTCTGGTGATAATAGATCTAATCCTCTAGCTCTGTTGACACGACAATAAACTTCAGGGAGCGTCATCGTACCACCTACCTCTTCTAATGTAACATGAATAATTTTAGATATTTCTTTACACAAAGTATTGTAATATATGTTGGAGTCAGTAAATGATGATCTAGTGACTGGATCATCAACTCCAAGACCGAGAAGATAAGCTTTAAAACGTACAGTTTCATCATCACTAATAACTCCTTGCTTTTCTTTAATTCTTTCAGATATATTTCTACTCAACATTACCATATCTTTTGCTGTTACCATTAATCTATCTAAATCTTTAAATGCTTCTGTTATACTAACATCTGATGCTTTTTGTTTTTCATAAATTTTTCTTTCAATTCCTCCGATTCCTGTTCTGATTTGGCGAGACATATTTGTTACACACCACTTTTTCTCTCTGACAGTTGTTTGAAACAAATCCAAAAATCCATCTGGTATTTTATCTTTAAAATCTAGTTTAATATACTCACCTACACAACTAGCATTTGCTTCTAGACCATTAATTTGGTTATCTGGTGGTAATAAGTGAATTAGTATTATTTTAGTTTTAGAACCAAATAAGGTTTCAGTAACAACAGCTTCAATAAATACAATATATCGTAGCTGAAGTGAGAGAGATACGTCTCCTTTTGTCCAATACAGTTGAGTACTAGTTAAAATAATTTCTCCACGATGAAAAGAAGTTTTGTAATCAGCATTATATAATGTGACATTTGAATGTTGACAAATTATGGTGTCATTATTATCAGGCTTAGAATATTCAAACCGGTCCATTTTAAGTACAATTAATCAGGAGATAATCAGCATTTAGATTTATTTGTAATGAGTGATAAAATTTGTAAAACTAAAATTAATTTAAAATCGAAGCTAATATCGTTAGTATAAAAACATCACTTTTAACTTACAATATTAAGTTATTTTTGGAGTAACTTTATTTAATTAGAAATAAAACAGTAGTTTTTTGAAAGAAGCTTAAAATGTAGTGTTTTAACTATTAATTATAATAACGTAACCATAAACATTTTAGTATCTATTTAAGAATATTTAATCTATTTTTATATTTAAAAATTAAATTTTTTTTAAACTTATTTTTAATTGTAATATATAATATTAAAACTATGACGATCTTTTAAGCTAAGAAGTCCGAACTATGAATTATCATAAATAATCACCTCGACTAGTGATGATCCAAAAAATGATAATGTGTGATAAGACTTAAATATTACATAACCTTCAAAATATTTGTAGCATAGACCCACGATCATAGATTAAATACCAAGGTGGATGGGAGCACGACACGGAGCCACTCGACAAACAGCCACCGAAAATCGACACGGAGCCACTCGACAAACAGCCACCCGAAGAGATACCAACATGTACAATATTTATGTAAAATGTACGATTATTATTTGTGTATGTTGTGCGGCCGACACCACATATTATAACGGAGTAATAGCAAAAAATGTAATTTCCAAATTGTATATCAATTAAAATAAAAACAGTAATTTTGTAGAAAATAATTTATTTGTATTAAAACCCCTATTGTATAGTAGACATTGTTACTATGTTCATTGTAAACATTTCAATTTACTCAACAGGATTTATTGTTTACTCATGCTATTAATAATAATTATTATTTCTAAATACTTTTACTCTATTATTATAAATAATTATACATTTTTATATTATTGATACTTATTTATTAATATAATACATAGGTAAAAAAATTATGTATATTGCAACGATATTAATTGAATAATATTTTAACTTGCTTTCATGTATTCCAATTAAATTACAAATATATTTTAAATATAAAACAAATGAAGTTATTGAACATTGTTTAATTTGTGTGCATTTTCATGAGTATCGGAATGAACGATCCATGTATATATTATATATACAACTAAAAAGTATTTGATAAAGGTTTTTACTTTTTATTGACTTAGAACTAATTATTAAACACTCAGAAGCAAAGGGTTAGAATTAGATAAATACCGATATAAAAATCCAAAAAAAGTACATTTTTAGCTAATTGGCAAATGTGTATATTTTCCACCCATTTGGCTTATGCTATAGGCCATCTATATAAATTGGATTTTTTTATCTGATTAATTATTTCTATTAATTAAATCTATATATATATATATATAAATTAATGTATGTGTGTGTGTCCCTCACAATTTTCATCAGAGTTTGTAGAAAAACAGCATTATATATTTATTTTGTGTTAATATATTGTAATGGGTTACCAAGTCCAGCCATGTTTACGTCATGACCGATTTCTCCTTGAATACTAATATGTGTACGACCGAAAGGAGTTATTCTATACTTTGTATAAAACCAAAATGTAAACAACGTCATAAATTGTAAAATCCAAATTATAAATTGTAAAAGCCAATTTATTTATGCAAATTATATATTTTGTACAACTGAAAGATTGTAAAAACGCACAAACAAACACATAAATTGTATCTATCCGACAATGTTAGGCACTTAGCAGAAGACAACTTGGCCATTCACCAACAACCCGGATTAACGCTTGCACAACTGAGAAAAGGTCACCGAGGCGGGGATTCGAAGAACTCCTTCCACCGAACCGGATGGACATTTTGCGTAAATACCAGCCGTTTCACCACAGCACCCTCAGAAGTGTCTTGGCCGCGTATTATGACAATACCTGCAACAAGCACTTATTTTATTATCTGTGTATCAACTTAAATGCTTATATTGGAATACAAATATTACCTATTTTATTGAAAGTATTAACTTTATTTACGAAACATCCATCTTCCTTCTTCAACCACTTGTGTGTTAAAGTATCCAAAGGCCACAGACTGCTGGAACTTTACACTGGCGCAGTCGGTAGGATTGTCAAAGGCGGGACTGATTGCAACATCACACGGAAGACCAATTGAAGAAATTCCAGCCTTCTTGCTCTTCGACGCTCTTTGACACGACCAGACGACTCAAAATGAACGCTCTGTTGTGAGTAATCTATAATATAAGGATATAAATAAGTTAATTAAGTTGATTGTATGAGTAATAATAAGCAGTTAGACACTTCTCACGTTAAGAAAGAATTAGATTTATCTGAGGTTACGTTAGAATCTAATGAAATTGATTTAATTAATTTAGACGACAGTAACAGTAGTTCTATTATTATTGATCAGGAATCTGAAACCGACCCGATAGACCTTTTGAACACAACACTTAGGGAAGCAGATAGGCGATTAACTAGGAGTACACTAGGTGTAGTGCATGTTGAACTACAAACGGTTAGGAAAACAAAATCTAGGGCAAAAGAAATTAACACAGAAACTACGGCTAATACACCAGACGTAGAAACTAATCAAGCAACGATGTCTACAACTCCCACTTTAAGTTTAACGGACGCGTTACATTTAACTCCTAAATACTCCGGTGAAACGGATATTTATCAATTTTTAAATGCATGTGAGGCAATAATTAATTCAGTTAATGCCGATCAAATACCGCTTTTGTTAAAAATGGTTATAAGCACCAAGCTTACGGGCCGTGCATTTAATTGTACTAAATATAAAACTTTAGCATCATGGGAGGAGTTGAAAAAATCTTTGCTTGACGCGTTTGAAACACCTTTTGCAGCGGCTAATTTACAAATTCAATTAAATATAATAAGAATGAACAAAAATGAAACAGTTAATAGTTATAATGAACGGGTAGATGAAGTTTATCAAAAATTATGTAACGCTTTAGCTGCAGGAAAATCAAAAGAAGACGCGAAAATTATAAATGAAAATGTAAAAACACAGGCTCTGGTTAGTTATATTAATGGGTTAAATGAACAACTTAAATTTGAAGTTAAAACTAAAAATCCTCTTACACTTGATAGTGCTATGCAAACCGCAGTCCTAGCCGAAAAAGACTTGATTACTTATAGAGGGGTACAGGATATGTTTAAATCGCAAAACGCAGGGAATAATTTTAATACGGGTCAAAATAACAACGGGAATAGAGGTTTTCAGTCACCAAGGAATAATGGCAATAATAATCGGGGTAACAATTTTAATGGTAATCGTCCTAATGAAGATAATAGACGTTGTAGGATTTGCAACCAAATAGGTCATTTATCATATAATTGTAGATTAAACACTAACAATGGCAATAGTAATAATAGACCTCCACCTCAGCAAAATAGGCAAAATACTAATTATCAAACGGGAAATTTTAATTCGAATAATGCGGGTCCTATTGTCTGTAATTATTGTGGCAAAATCGGGCACGGGGAGTCTGTTTGCTATAAAAGGGAAAATGACGCGAAACGTGCAAATATGGGGAACGTCGCGATTAAAGCAGAAAATTTTCAGGAACCGACCGCGAGTCACGGGACGCGCGTCGTGAGGCAAATAGCCGTGGAATCTCAGACTGTTTCAGAATCACCCGAACGACAATGATAAATAAGCATATTTTTTGTAATAGTAACGCTAGCAAAAACGATAATTTTCAGTTGCTAGTCGATACTGGCTCTCAGATTAATATTTTAAAAATTAGCACGGTAAAAGATGATATTATGGTTAACGAATTAAAAAGGGTTTATCTTAAGGGAATTCATGAGAAAATTATACCAACGTATGGTACTATAGTTATTCCGATAATAATTAATAATAAAGAAATATATACAGAATTTAATTTAGTAGGTAACAATTGTATAATGCAGGAAGATGGTATTTTGGGGGAAAAATTCCTTACTGAAAATCACACGGTGATAGATATGGGTAATAATGTTCTTTTGATAAATGATAATGATGATGATGTTTTAGGCGAAAATGGAAAGCCAAGTGGGAAAAATGATATTTTAGAAAATGAAAAAGAATTAGGTATAGTTGGAAATAATGAAATATTAAATGAAGGAAATTTGAATATGGATAGTAATGTAATTGGGGAAAATATGTTAGGTAAAACAGATACCAAGAGTATTTTAATGATTAACGGGGAACAAATAATTGACGAGTGTATAGTCAATGGGAGTATAATTAATGAAAATGTAGTTGATGGGAATATAGCCAGTAGGAATAGATTAAGTGAGGATATAGTTGAATTCCCCTTAGCAGGAAAAATTGAAAATAATTATAATGATAATGGGTCACGCCAGGGTGCCTCATGTTCGCATCAAGCGGCGAATAATATTGAACATTTTGCTTTGGGTAAGAATGAAAAAGATATAAATATTAGTTATGATGAAATAAATGACAAATGTAGTAAAATAGATTTAAATGCGAATGACGCAGGGGATATAAATGTAGAAAACACGACACTGGAATGTATTGGGTCACAGAACACGGATTTAGTCGATACAGACGGGGCTCATAATGATAGTAATGGAAATAAATTAGTAAAAAGCATCTGTAATAAGTTTCATTTAGATGTCAGGATAATAAACAATGTCGGTAGCGCGAAACTAACCGATACAAAAAGTAGGCAAGTAGCCAAGAATAATAGCGACTGTATAATATTGCAGCCGAGGTCAGAGACGGTCATAACAGTACCAATAGCTGATTTGGACGGGCAGGAGATATTAATAAATAAGCAAGAACTGGTTAGGGACGTATATTGTAGCAGCGCGATTTCTCTTGTCAAGGATGGTGGGTTTATAGTAGGACTATTAAATATCGGGGAAACCGAGACATGTTTAAGTAAACACGATTTAAGTAAAATAACTTATGAAGGACAAACCAGTTATAGTATTTATAATATTAACGTAGAAAATATCGAAGAAGATAGAATCAATAAGATTAAAACATTAATTAGAAGCGATCATATGAACGCGGAGGAAAAAGAAACTATTTTAGGAATATGTGGGGATTATGCAGATATATTTCATTTAGAGGGAGATAAATTAACTTGTACTAATACAATAGAACACGAAATTAGAATAAAACCAGACCAAAAGCCCGTGTACCTAAGACCGTATAGATTGCCTTTCGCGCAGCAAGAAGAAATAAGTAGACAGGTATCGCAAATGGAACAGGACGAGATAATACAGGAAAGCTTCTCTCCTTGGAAT